CCCTGGGGGCCCCTTGGTACCCGTGAGCACCACGTTGGTGACCCCTGCTCTAGATGATGGTGTTTCTTCTTTCAAGGCTACAGCTTTGAGTGTCTGCTTTAGTGGACCTGTACTCAAGAACAAACTGTGACTTCCTCATTTGGTGCACCTCTTTGGGTCTAATCCAGCTTTCTGATTAGACCCCAGAATTTAGCATAGACAAGTTAACATTAGTTACCTTCTAGTTAAAACATGCACCTATTAATATAACTGCAATCTGCAGATTTGCACAAATGGAATAGAACACCTTGTTCTTTAAAGGTTTCTCAACTCTAAGCCTGAAATATCCATGTTGTAGAAACATGACATTCTGGGAAATGATTGGTTCAGAAACATTTATCCTGCTACATATAAATGTACCTTTGGTCTTCCTTCTGTACTCCACAGCAGCCTGAATAGCAGATGTTTGTATATTAAGACACTGTGAACAATTCCTTGGTTTTGGTATGCAGCAGCAACTACTGCAGTATAGCGCAGAAAGGAGAGGAAATGTTAGGATCGATCTTATTCTCTAATGAAAAGGCTTTTTAACCTTAAAATACCTAGGTTGATGTTAAATTACATTATAATAAATTTCTATGCTTCTCCATTAAATTCTGATGAAACATGGTCCACATGGTGGGCACGTACACTTTACTGATATCACTGGGGAATAAAAAGCACATTTAAGTTTTAAATCCTGTTAAAAAGGTAAAAAGTGTTTAATATAAAGTATGGTTCAAAAAGTAACCGCATCCAGGCGAAATTATTGGATTAAACCAAGAAATAAAATAATTTTCCTAACAGAAGTCAGTATCTCTTTATAGTCCCACATTGGAGAAATTTGTCCGCTACATGCCTGTGCATATTCTCAATCATCCAGTGTCATGTACGCTACCTTTACATCATTCTCTAGGGTTCAGAGGGCTACCACTTTAGAGCAATCTGGGACTAAAAGCCCTGATCAGGTATCCAAAGCAATAGGCTGAGTTTTATAATGCAGATCTTCCAGCCTCTCCTCAACACAAAAGCCCTGCACCCTAACCCCCCATTCACCAGGCATGTCACATTTAGACCAATTACTACATCCTTATCTTGGAAATTTTTGAACTACTTTCAATTTTGGCATCTTGTTGTATGTTTTTTAACATGTTAAAACAAAGTGAAATCTTAGCTTGTGTGTGATTGTGTTTGGTGTACCATAAGAAAATGAGGTCATCCATTGAAACTCTGAGTATTTTATTTGGAAAATAACTTTTTTGTTAAATATGAATTAAAGGAAATATTTCTGACAGCCCAACAATTATCCCCAGTTTAAGTGGCTTAATTCACTCATAAACTTGATCACATAATCATCGAGTACTTTGAAAGAGGATTGTTTTAAAAAACACTTAGTTAATAAGATCAGAGACCAGAGATCGGCCTGAATAAGGAATGTAAAGAAGTTTGTTTAATTCTCATTGACAGCTGAGTCTAAAACTGAATTATGAGGACACCAGAACAGACACAAGAGTCAGGAAAGAAATACCAACTGTGAAGCATAGGAGTGGAGGTTGCATGGATTAGGGATACATTGCTAAACCAATCTAGCAGGATTTGGATCATGTATCAGAAGGTATTTGAAGAAAATGTGAGAACATTTGACAGAAAATAACGCTGGTGATCAGGTAGACTTTGTAATATGACAATAAAAAAACTGTAAATCTGGCTGAGAAATGGAGAATCCTTTGTCAAAACTGAGATCTTAATCTCAGGAAGATGTTGTGGATTGACCTGGTATTCAGTAATGATAAACTAGGGTTTCCTAACCTTCACCTAATGTTAAAAAAAATCATTTATGCTTTTGTTTAAAGGTTAATATTTGGCATTTATTTGGATCAATCCTTTTCTTTTCTAAGATACAATGTCAGTATAAGAACATTTCTTTACAAATCACTCAATAATAAACAAATGTTCTAACTCTTTCCAATATAATACAGATCTTTTCTGAAATTACCTTTCTAAAACCATGTTGTATTGTTTTGTGATTATCTGGTATCATTTGGTTGTATTTTTAACTTGCTTTGGGTGAATTTTTACTAATTTCTTAAAAAAGTTAGACTTCATCGTATGAAACGTAGGATATAAATTAAGATGGTAAACAATCTAAAAGATTGGCTCCCATTTGTCTCCTCTGAGGCATTAGTTTTCTCCTCAAGGTCCAGAATATCTTTCCCATATTTTGCTGAACTCCTAATAACAGCTGACCATGTTCTAGGTCTAGGGTGATTTCCCTGATGTCAAACAATTACTGAAATATTCTAAGAATAAAACGCTCTTATATCTAAATGTATCTCACAAAATTCATCCCTTTTGTTTGTTTTTCCTCATTTGTCCCAAATATTTTTTTTCCCTCTTATCTGTGATAAAGGGAAGTAATTAGAGGAAACTACTGGTTTTAAGTTTTTTCCAACTGGGTTGGAGATTTCTTTGACCACAGCGCCCTCTTGTGTTATTCTAACCACATTCTAACCAAATCTGAGATAGTTGTGTTTTTCTGAAAATGTAATATCTGTCAGCATATGGCCTTGAGTATCCTCCAAAACCCTTAAAGCATCCAAATCAATGATGAAACTAACTTTCTTTGCAAAGTAATATTAAATAAGCAACAATAGAGGGTTTTTAAACAGGATTTTAAACAGTTAGATTAACACTAAATCACAACACCTCAATTGCATTTGACTCTAACATTGTTTTTGTCCTTTTGTTTATTTAAAGTGGCTCAGGTTATCCTGAATTATCTCTATAGCTATGCTGCTATAAGCTTAGACTGCTGGAGGACATAGGGAGCCCTTATCATCATTATGCTTCATTCTATCTCTATTCTCCTACTCTGCAGTATCTGTTAGTTCAATCTCTAATCTTCTGCTCTCTCTGCTTTTTCTCATAGTAGCTTCATCTGGTCTGTTCCTGTTTGGCTGTGACTCCATCTCAGAGAGAGAGATATTAGCTGTGCTGCTGTCATCAATACCTTTATTTATAAATGTTGAAGCATGGCCTATTGTTCAGTGTAGACTGTTACTAACTGTATGTGCTCTCTTTGATCCTCTGACATGGGAGCTGGGTTGCAGCTCGTCTGCCTGGCTGTGTGTTTCCTGGACGGGGCCGCCTGTGGAGCTGGTTGACAGTTGCCTTTTGTATCTTTGCTTCTTTTCTATGTCTGATTCTGTCTTCTTGAACCTCAGGTGGCCTATACAGATGGCTGCTCACACTGAGCCTGCTTCTGCTGGAGGTTTCTTCCTGTCAAAGGAGAGTTTTCCTCTCCACTGTCGCTACATGCATGTTTGGTGTCAGGGATAGATAGAAAACTTTGAATCAATTTGACTGTTTGATGTGGTTGCATTGTCTCTGTAAAGTGTGTTGTGAATTGGTGCTATATGAATAAACTGAATTGAATTGTCCTCCAGTGCATGTTTTTTTTTCTTTTTTTGGGTTAGTGGTATCCTGAAGCAGACTTAAAATCACAATACCACTACCATGTTTAATTGTAGATCTGAAAAGCTGTGTTAGGACAGGGTATCCTCTTTGAAGCCTCTGGGATCATCAAAAAGTATTTTCTGTAAATGTGACTAGTCCCTTTGTTTTCTGGATCAGTAGTGGTTCTGGTCCTGGAATTTTCTGATGGAGACCATTTATAATTGCTTAGTCATTAACTATGATCTTACATGAGGCCTGCAGAGCTTCATATGTAGTTTGGCATTCTTCCACAACCTTCTTAGTTTGGGTAGGTCTGCAACTCCTAGGAGGGTGTGACTGTTCCATCTTCCTTTCAGTTTCTAGATGTTTCTAATGGTGGGTAACCTTTCCACTACTATTTTAGAAATTGTTTTTAAACTAAGCTGCTATCACGGTCTAAATAGTGGCTTTTGTTGGCTAACCCCATCTAATTAAATCAAATCTATTGAGTTTATCTTTGTCTATATCAGGTTTTTACAGTTCTGGATCCTACTAATAACAAAAAACAGAACTATTCACTTTCATGCTAAACATTTTATTTAGAATAACCAAGCAAGAAAGATACTAGAACTCGCTTTATCAGAAATAGCTGTACATTACTCCAAAATAAGCTTTTAACATGGAGAACATGCTCCCATCAAGAGCTTAAATACTTTGTACAAAATACATGAAAACAACAGAAACAAATCTAAACATAAATCATGACATTAAGAGAAAGATTTAGTTTAAACTCAATTTATCTAAAACCAAGTTTTCAGGCTTAATCAACAGTAATACAGTTTTTCTTCCATCTGTATGAAAATATAAAGGTTAAATTTTGTCCTTTTGGAACAAATTTGCATTAAGAGGTAAAAATATTTTTCAGGTAGTTTGTTTTTATTATTAAAGCCATTCCCCTTCTTTCACTTAATTTGGATAACCTTGAAACGTTGTTAAATATTTGGTTTTCTCCGTTTTGTTTGCTTTTATATGCAACCAGCTTCTGTGTTTTAGGCTACTATAGAAATAAAAAGCCTGCTGCACACATCTGGTTCAGATAAATAGAGAAATATTAAACAGTAAGATCCTCCTCCACCTCGTCGTCGTTTCCCTCCAGTACATGTTTATATTCGTCACTGTCTAAGTGAACACCCATCTCCTTCTGCAAGGCGTTTAGGCTGTCCTGGCTGATGTAACATCTGATGCTCTGGGATGGCAGCAACTTTTGGAGCTCCTCTAACTTCTTGTAGGCCTGGAGGAAAACAAATAAATTAAATTATATGTTGGTTTCAGTTTTTATTTCTTCTCAAACACAGAGGACAATGGAAATCTAATATCTGTGGAACTCCTTGTTTAAAACAGCTCACAGTTACAGCTTCTAACGCAGTGTGAATGATTTCCAATATTTCTAGCCTTGGCTTTTATGCACTGTTGAAGTGGTTGCTGATAGTCACCATTTGAAAGTGGCCTTGCTGGCAGTAATGGTCAATCAAGAAACTGAATGCATCTCCAATCCTGACAGGTGGGTCTATCTCTGGATCCTCCAGCAAGGCTTCGCATAACTTCACTGCCTCAGCTGGATCCTCGGGATATAACCTGCAGAGAAATTTCAAAATAATGCAGCTACATTGATAAAAGCTGTTCAGTTCATGCTTTCATTACTAAACATCTTAAATTAAGTTCCAGTTTTAAAAGTACCCATCAGTTTCCATTGATTTCAACTTTAATCTATCATGTGCTGACATATGCAAATAATAAGGTATAACATAAAAATGCCTAAAATACCGAAACGTTTTTGCCAGATTATTAAAGATACATTTGGAGATGATATTAGTTAAAATATAATAAAATATCCACTCTACATAGTGGACATCTGCAGCACACATTCACAGTGGCATTTGTGCTTCGAAAAACTCATTTCCATTCAGTGTTGTATTAAATCTTCACCAAGATCTTTCATTGATGACATAAGAACCTGACAGGGTGAAAAGCCCAAAGATTCTCAGTGAGGTTAATGTCTGGACTCCATGTGTGAAAATGATCCACTCTTCAACATTTCAAGCCAAGTGAATTTTGGTATCTTGGAATATCTATAATTCTTCCCTGAAGAAAAAAACCCATTGAAGGACTAACCTGGCCGTTCAGTATATTCAGGTAGCTGACCTCATTCCTTGAATACTGCTGCTGAACCCAAACCTGACCAATGGCAGTACCCCACATCAAAGCACTTCCCCCACAGGTTTGAACAGTAGACAATAGACATGATGGGAGCATCACTTCACCTGCCTCTCTTCTTACTCTGATACGGCCATCACTCTGGATCAGGGTAAATCTGGACTCATCAGACCAAATGATCTTCTTTCCTTCTGCTAGAGTTCAATTTTTATGCTCCACAGAAAATTGAAATCTTTTTTTTCACATTAGCATCACTGATCAGTGGTTTTCTTAAGGCTTCATTGCTCCCAATCCATTAATTTCTTTGCATTATGCTTGTAGAAATGTTACTTTTACTATTAAACAGTCCAAACTTCAACTGTTGTTTTTAATCCAATTTGGTTTCACCAAATATTAAAGGTATAGTGGAGGATGTTCTTTTTCCAGGTGGATCATCAAAATAAGTGGTCATCCTAATTGTCGATCCTTATGTTTACATAAGGCCGTCTTACGTGCTAGTACTCATTTTTCACTTAGCGGTGGTGAGTCTGACATAGTGGAAAATTGTAAATCTTCTTTTGGAAAGTAAGGTTGTATGAGTGATGCAAACAGCATCTTTTAAACATAGCGTGCACAAGGAGAAATGGCTCGTGCACGCTCTCGCACGGGTTTAATAGGTGTTCCCTATCAGGAGAGGGTACAGGGTTGTGCATTTTTTTTAAGTGGAAAGGGCTGGTCTTTACAAAAATCCACCACTATAGCTTTAAAATGATTGCTGATTGTGATGATTGATGATTTTTTCTCAGCATTTTTTTCCTTGAAGACGATGGGTCCCCATTATCCTTCCAGTTAAGTGCGTTGGTCAGTTCTTCACCGAGTTTTGGCAGTTTCTACAATCTACTTAAATGTTTTCTCTTCTTAATGCAGCTCAATGATCTGTCTGTCCTGAAACACAGACGGCCATATTTTTCATGACCACAGGATGTGTAGTTCAACTCAAGTCCCAGTTGAGGTTAAATAACTTGTTACCAGTTAAACCCATGCAGCAATTATCCAATGGGAAACCAATACCTATTTGCTTAGTTAAATCAAGGTGGCAACTTTATTTGGCCAGGCAGTGTATTTTGTGTTGTAGAAGATGGAATCTTCTTTTTAAAATTTATTGGCACTAAAACATAATCATACCTCCGTATGTGGACAAACTTCTTGATGAGGTTGATCTTTTGCTGCAGTTCAGCTAACCTCTGTTCCTGCTGTCCTCTTGGAAGTTGCTTTGCTTTGGACAGACACTTGATAGCATCGGCTAAAGCATCCAGAGCCTTTTCATAGTTTCGGTAATCATATATTTCCACCTAAATCAATGGGACCAAAAAATTTATAACTTCAGGTTTTAAGTGAACTTTTTTTTTTTTATCTTTTTGAATCAGAAATATTATTTAAGGAGATACATGCATTACTACTATAAAAATGCAAATAATTTCTCAAAAAGGAAATAAAACCATTTGTAAAGAGAGGTGATCCACCTGAGCACAAGCTTCATAGAAGCCACCAAGCAGGTGCGGAGCATCGCCCTTAGTGTAGAATTCAATAATATACTTCAGGTTTTCCGGGTTCTTCTGCCAGTCCAGGGACTGGAAATAGTTGGCAGCCATTATGAAAAGCTCTTTCTTTCGGGAGAGGTTGGCATAGAAGGCTATTTTTTCTCTGTCGCCCGATTTCAGGAGTGCCTTCATGGCCTTTAAAAGAAACAGATACATGGAAAAGTAAATGAAATAAAAAACAATTATATGTAGGTATGTAAAGCAAATACTCTTAACCTATTTTAAAGGAGTCTCCCCTTTTTTATCATTCACATAAAATCTGAGTTACATCTATTGAAGTTTTGCAGTTATGTGACAAAATATAGAAGATGAGTGGATATAAATACTTTTTATGACGTTATAGAGCTCATTAAAGAAATTATATCTCAAGGCTTTAAACTTTAAACCTTCCAGATGGTCATTAAGAATAAGGGGCTAATGAACTAACTTTCAACCTTGTTTTTGTATAGATAAACATCTGAGGTACTAATCTTTTTTTATGAATGGATCAGGACCAGATGTTCAACTAAATAACTAGAAAATCCATCACATCGTACCCTGTGTTTGTTGCCTGCTTGTGTGTACAACTTGGATGCCAGGTGGTAGCTGCCCTGACTCATGCAGCAGTCCCCTATCTTCTCCAGCAGTTTATTGCAGGCCTCTTTAGACAGATCCTTTGATTCAGTGAGATGTATTCTCTCCAGGAGGTCCTCTGTGATATTCAGGTTCTGGCTCAAACACAGCTCCACGGCTTGAGAGTACTGAACATTATCAAAAAGACACGTCAGCGTAGGAAATATTGAGCTGATCCACACCTGGGTAGATATAGATGCGTCACACAGCTACCTTCCTGCTTGCCGCCAGCATCTGCACCGCCTTGTCATACTGGGAATGTTGGATGAAAAATTCAGAGCAGCGAGAGAAGAGAGCAGGGTCAGAGTTTTCGTTCAGCTCCTCTGCGATGAGCTGAAGGGCATCAAACTGCTCAGTGGCGATTGCCAACTCTAAAGCTCTGGAGACGTAACCAGCCTACATGAGGAAAGAAATCATCAGCACACTGACAAAGCTCTGCCTCCTGCCTGAGAAATGGCTTCTTCAAACCAGAAAGCACTCAGCTTGGATATTTGTTGCAACGCTGCCACCTTGTGTACGCTGAACTGACCTTGTGGTAGAGTGTGACTGCTCGATCCATGTGTTTGCCCTTCTCCTCATAGTAACATGCAGCCTCCATCATGTCCTCTGGGTTACTAAGTAGAGCCAGATTCATCAGCTGGAAATCTAGGTTGTTTTCCTGTGCAGAAAAAAAAAATAAATGAACGAATTGCCCAGAAAAACTCAAGAGTCGGGGATTCCAGTGTCATACTTTACCTTACAAAGTCGTATAGCATTGTTGTAGGCCTGGGCTTGGGTGTAGAAGTGGACTGCTTGCATAATATCATCGTGACTCTCGTAGTGCCTTGCCAGGTGGTACGATGCTGCTCTGTCACCTGTGCTGTTGGCTATCTGGGAGGCCTGGGGAGCCGAAGAATTAAACGCATCAATACGAGCTTACTCAGCTGAAAACAATAAGGATATAAGAATATTTCCCTGCAGGACAGATTTCTCTCAAAAGTTCTCTGGGCATGATTTTAAAATGCCAACCTCCTGAATGTTCCCCATGTAGCAGTGAACTCGAACCAGGGACAGGTAGTCCTCAGCATGCTCATAGTACTGCAGCGCTCTCTCCATGTCTGATTGGCTCTCCAGGTACTGGGCCCACCACTTATAGATTTTCCTGTTTTAATAAGGAGACACAGGTGATTTTTAAACACTGTCATGCAGACAGTTTAGGTATTTTTTTTGACTTAAATAATGGAAAAAGTGTCAGGCCTCGGCTGTGAACTGACTTATCTTTGGCTTTGTTAACATAAATCTCCAGAGACGCCGGGTCCTCCTGGAGCATTCTGGGCACTTCGGCTCGGTGTGTGTCTGATTTCTCATAGCTGTAACAGAAAAGCTTCTTATTCCAGAGAAAATCTATGAAACGTAAAACACAAAACCTCCAGTTAAAACAATGCATCTTACAAATCAAGAGCCAAATCCTTCTTGCCCCTGAACTCCAGGTATTTGGCATATTCGTAGAAGGTGGTGTGCATATTGATGCGATCATGCGTCTCGGCCGTCTCCAAAGCTTGATTCCATTTGTTGGAAGCCTGGTAGAAGGCGTTCAGCAGGTCAAAGCGTTGACAGCTCTTGTAAAGCTTTTCCGCATCTTCCTGTAAAAGGACAGGAAAGGTTGATGGAAGGATAGATAGTTTCAGTCAGGAAAGTCCCGCGACATGCTTGGACCTAAAAGGAGGATGTGTTATTTGTAGCCAGAGGATGCAGCCGCACCGAATGCTGAACAGCGGATTCTGTAGCAGAAAACATAACTGAAACTTTACTTAACAAGGAGTTGGGATACTGAAGCGAGACAATAGTTACATTCCAAATAAACATGTAAAGATAACATAAGGCCAGACTCGCTACGAGTTTCTAAACAACAGTTTGTTAATAAGATAATTTACATTTCTCACCAGCATGCCAAGCTGAATGGCCAACATGGCCACCTGGGCTTCTGGTTCAGGCTCGGCCTCGGCATCCTTCACGGCTTTTGCTGCCCTGGCATTTCCCATATTCCCAAGGCACACTCGGGCAACGTCAAGCCGGTGAGTCTTCACACACATCCGTGCCATGTTTTCCCACACCGCTTTACTACAGAAAAAAAAAAGAAAGAGAAAGGAGTGTTTGCATCGAGGAGCTGCTGCTCATTCTTATGGTATTTATTATTCAGCAGTGAAAACTATGGTGGATGTACGTACATCCGCTGATTTCCTGTTTGTTCAAAGAAAAATGCAACAATGATGCATATTAGAGCTATTTTTCTGTGTATTTTAAGCTTTTGATTTTGTTCCAAAGTCAGTTTACTCCTAATTTCCCTGAAAGTTTTTATATTTAGTTGACTTACGAGCAAGAAGGTAACATTTTTTACTGGAAGTTTCTGGAAGAGAGTTTAAAAAAAAGACTTACCGGTAAAAAAAAAAAAGACTAGAAAAAAAGCTAATGAATCAGATGGAGGGAGGACATTATCAAGTTTTCATACATTTTGCATTGCATTGTGCATTAATCCCCCCTTTCAACATCAGTAACAGCTGCAATTACACATTTATTTGGAATGTAACTATTGTCTCTTAGCTTTGCACATCTAGAGACTGAGTCCTTAGTTGAATAAAACTTTGGTCTTCGATGTGGGCATTTTAACACCTGAATGGGCTTTGATAAAAAAGAAATCCAAAACTGTGCAACTTGAAAGCTTTAAGTTCAGACAAACTTTGGGACAAATACAAGTATAGTAAACAGGGATAAATTAACTGTATTACAGAGCCAATAAGCACAGAGAACCAAAAAATACTGGTAAATATTTTGGCTGTGTTTAGTTGACACCTTAAATGAGGACTGGAAAATAAACAACCCTTTGACTGATTGATTTCAACTTAATTTATCCACCAAAATTTAACATTCACCGATTCCAGCAGAACATATAACAGAAAAAAATGGTATAAACCAATTAGAAAAAATCTTGCAGTTGAAAATAAGCTTTTAAAGGGAGTGGGATTTCCTGACTGATATGCTCAGTCCCCAAGATAACTACCAACAAGGCCATCTAACAGCATCCTTTTATCTGTCAATATTTATAGCAACATACTTACTAACATACCGGTAGGTTGTTCCATACTGTGTGGAAAACATAAGATAGAATAATAACAAATACTAATAAATGTTTCTTGCGTTTCTTTGTGCCTTCTTAGAGGTTTCATGCATAAGGCCACCATATTGGGTTTGAAAGTCAGCATTGATGATGCGTAACCCTTCCAGTTCACACTTGGAATTCCCAATCCTGCTGGAAGGTGTAAAAAAAAAAAAGTTTAAACAATCCATTATTTATGTTATTTTCAATATATCCCAAAAAAATATGTTTTTGTTTTTATTTAATGGTATTTGTCACATTACAAATCAAATTAAACATTTATATGCGGGATAAGCATTTTAAAATGTCTTTCCATTTTCTTTTTCCCCCCGTTGGCCTCTCTGATGTAAATTGATCCCTCGACTCTTTTAACTTTAGCTTCAACTCCTAAGTGAAAATTCCAAAACCATCTGGTCTCTATTTGCATCACCTCCCTCCTCTTTTCTTTAGCAGATACAGATGTGGGTTGTTTATTAAAAGTCAAGCAACAGGAAATACCCCAAATCTTTGGGGGCCCTGCTAAAAGTACACTGATTGAGGCCAACAGAAATAAATGAAGGTTAGTACAAGCCGGCCAAGTCATACTTTTTATGGTCACAGAATTCACTGATTAAAAGATCAAGCTGCAGAGCAAGACATGGACAGATTCAGAGAGCCAGAAAAGGAAAGACAAGAGAAGAGACAGGTCTACATTTGGCCCCTTTTCCAATCCTCTTTTCCTCTCAGGAAACACATCCTGTTGCTGGCTGACTTTGGCTGCCAGTCTGTTTGTTGCACATGGGAGAGAGGACTTTAGCACACGCCCCCTGGTCTTCAGACAAAAGAATCCAGCATGCTGTGACGTCTAGAACAGTTTTTTTTTTTTTTTTTTTTAAGACACTCGCAAATAGAATCATGGTTTTTAAAGTGATCCTGGAGGAGGGGACAACTAGTATAGAGCTCTCAGCATCTGCACACTGATGCCTCGGACCGTAACGAAAAGCAGCTCTCCCACATTTCAACTCTGACCTAAAGCGTTTGCAGAGTGCAAGAGAGAGAAAGAGAGAGAGAGAGAGCAGTTGGCAGGAGACAGAGAGAAGCAGCAGGAGGTGGACCAGAGGACTTCTTGTTCCAGTCAGACAGTGGAGACGCTCCAAATCAAGAGGGTTGAAGTTAGTCTAAGCAAAGTCTTTAGCAAGTCAGTTCCTAGCAACACTGTCCAAAGAATCTTTGTATTTTTTTATTTACTATTTTAAAAAATGATTTAATACTACTTTGGGAAAAAAGAAACTAGACCAAAAGGCTCCACAAAAAGAGTAGCAAGAAAAGAAAAAGTTTAAGTTTAAACACAGGCAAACTAAAGCTGGGTTGAGATCCAGGAGTCAAGCTGCAGCCAGAGGAAGCCAGTGGGATGGACCCAGGTGCCAGTTGGATCAATCCCCAAGTACCTGCACTGCTGTCTGAGGAGGAGGGCTGAGAATCTGCTGCCACGACAACCAACCCCTGAATGAGGATGAATGGAGATGTTCTTTAGGTAAAGCAACACTCCTACTAAATCGTCTGAGTGAGCTGCAGAAGAACCGAGGTCACAGCTGGACGTGGAGGAGGTCGTGGAGGGGAGTCAGGGGGCCCTGAGCACCGCCGGCGACTCTGGCCCAGAGGACAGAAGTGAGCGGTACACTGAGGAGGGACATCACGGAGGGGAAGAGGTGGCAGGCGTCAGGCGACGCATGGCCGTCCAGAGGCTGGTTGCGGCAGCAGTGTTGGTGGCACTGCTGTCCTTAGTCCTAAACAACATTGCAGCCTTCACCCCAAGCTGGGTCCTTCAAGCTCTGGAGGACGGACGCAAGAGGAATGTGGGACTATGGAAAATGTGCCCCGTCGGGGGCCGTGATGACCTCCAGGGTGCAAGTCAAAGGCAGTGTCAGAGCCTCGGATGGGGGTCCGATTATGCAGGCTACCAAGAATCCCACAGCACTGTTAAATGTAAGGCTCCACTTTGCAAAAAACTCAATAACAACAGTTACCTGTAGTAATTGAAGAGGAAAGCAGTAATAAGCTCTTTCTGTACTTAATGGTATTTGTTTTTTTTTTTCGCTTTTATTTCTGTAGTTGACATTTTTTCAATGGAAAACAAATTTGAAATTTGGCGCTGCATCAATAGTTCGAACCCAGAACTCAACCAGGTGTTTTTCTAATGCAACCATTCTATGGCAACTGCATTTACTTTAGCTCAAATCTGCTCAGTCATTTTAATTGTAACAGACAAACAGGTGTCCAATTCATTACCAGCCTTTCCATCATGATCCAACCATAAGGTCAACACTAGAACCAAACACATGCAGCTCAGTTTAATGCAAATTATATAACACAAAATCCAAATTTCAGTCTGGTAGAAATGATGCACCGAAAGAAGTCTAGCTGTTTGTATTTGACCAAAGAATCCAAGAATGTTCCCAACAACTACATTTTAAGATTACTTGTTTTCTCCAAGCCTTTGAGAAGACTGGTAAAAATTAACATTTAAACGCTTCCCTAAATTACGCTATTGAGAAGCTGCCATTCAAGTACATATCTGGGAAATGCTTGACTTCCACTGGCAAGTCCAGTGTATACTACTGGAAGTACTGCCTCCCCATGTTTGACAGAGTGGCAGTCCACCATTCATTAAAAAAAAAAAAAAGAAAAAGAGAAAAAAACAATGCCACCTGTTTAACAATGAAAATGATAATGCTTGTCAAGCACTAATGTTTTGCATTACTAGCCCAGAGATTTGACATCGGTTTTTTTCTGCTCCCAAAGTGCAGTTTAACATGATGCGAGCGTGCAACCTGATAGCGACCGTGGCGCTGACTGTTGGTCAGCTGATCTTCCTTCTCGGCCTGATGGAGCTGCCCTTTATTACACAGGAGTCCCAGTGGTGGGAGGAAGCCATCGCTGCGCTCTTCCAACTAGCTAGTGAGTATCTGCATGGAGCCACTTGCACTGGTCCAACAAACTATGCAAAAATATATATTCAGGAATGGGTGAATAAATAGGCTGGATGAAAAACTTGACAAAGCATCAAAGCTTTTGTTATTAAATCTAGAATAATAATTTTAAGGTTTAGACCTTTTTTTGTTCTTTATTTTAATCCACAGAGGTTCAAAAAGGAGGAATATAGAATAAACACATTAAAATCAGGAACATTTCTTTTCATACTTTATGCACAGCCCCTCCCAACAGAGGCCTGCCAACCAGAATTACTCCAGGAAAGCATTAAACACCAGCAGGAGTTTACAAAACAGGCCAGAACAACCGCAGACCGAAAATAACACAAAGGCCTGTCTCACATTGACTAAAAATGATCATGACAATCACTAGAACTTCAGGACAAACATTCTGTAGTAAAACGAATGCAGCACTTTAGCAAAATGTACAGCATGCCAATAGTTAAACATGGAGGTGGGAGTGTGATTGTTTGGGGTTGGTTTGCTGTTTGAGGACTGGAAAAAATTGCTTTAATTGATAAAACCATTCATTCTGGCCTTTATCTGAAAATCCTGAGAAAGAATGTACAATCATTCATATTTATATTGTATAATTTAGCAAAAAAACTGTCCATGCTTCATTGAACAAGTCTGCAAAGACGAGTAGGCCAGAAGTCACCCACACTGGCAGAAAGCATCTGTTTTCACAAATATGCACTGCAAAAGAATCTACAATCAAGTAAAAATTGAGTGTATTTCCCCTTAATTTTAGTAAGTAAGTAAGTAAATAAGACGACTTTCCAATGCAATTAGTTTTTTTACTCTTAAAATAAGATAATTATATAATATGAACTTCTTGCAAAAAGACATTGCAACTGTTTTCGTCTTCTTTTAAATGTAAACTGTCTTGTTCCATCGGCAAAGTGTCTCACTTACCTCCTAAAGTCTATAAAAAATGCTGTTATTTAGATTTCAATTTTTTCCAGTTTGGCAGAAGTTCTGCAGAGAGGAGTAGTCAGGTATGAGATTGATGTGCAATTACTTATTTAAAAAAAAAAACAGAGGGGGATTCTCTCTCAACTCCAATGCTCTATGAAATGATTACTGTACAGACAGACATCAACTGATGTGGTCGTTACAGATCATTCATTTAACCCATTACGAGCATTACTAATTAATAATCAAGCTTTAAACTGTTTCTGCCATAGCCTGCTCTAATGAAATAAAGGAGGATCGTGTTGTGGGAAGTAGTTTTTCAGTAGCATGGGCTGCAATAGTGGAGAATGAAGGGATCTGCTCTGGATCTAAATTTAGTCCTAGTCCAGAATCCACGGGCAAGAGCTGCAGCGGACCAGGGAGCGACTGTTGGGCGCCAGGATATCCCTGCTCAGGACGAGGAAATGTCTGTGACTACCTGTTATGCAAACCCCTGAGCTGAAGAAGGAAAAAAAGGGGAGGGGGAATGAACGGGAAAGATAGTTTTCGACAGGGACCGTATGTTTGTGTGGGGGGCTTGCATGAGGGGGACTGTGCACATACAACTTTAGTGTTTATGTGTTTATAGTTTGCTTTGCTGGAAAAATATCCTGCAGTACACATGACAGCAGGGTGGGAATTGCTTCAGTCCAGATAAGATGGGCCTTTTATGTCTGTGTTTGTGAAGCAGCAAATAAAGCATCCTCCTTATTGTTGGTGACTTGGACTCCAATTACAGCGCGTGCCTGCCTTTATCTAAAGGCCTTGGAGAAAGGATCAAGGTCCTCCCAAAGTCACTGTATTTTTCCATATTAGACAGAAATATCTCAGACTTCAACGACCAAGAATTTGTCCCAGTCACGGTTAGACATCTAAAAATAACGATTTTCAGTGGAAAGAATGTCTCTTGCCAGTTCTGCAAACTGACCATAGAAGTTCAACAAACTTATTAAGAAACAAGATGAGATAAATCTAATAGATCAGATGTCTCCAATTGTAAAAAAAAAAATGCAGAATAAACTCATAATCACATAGTAACGATCAGTAGAAGGGTTCAAACGCAGCTGTTTTATTTAATTTCTTAATGTCTAGAATTAAAGATGCAGTCAGATTTAGGTTTTTTGTAGATGAATAACACGCCTATACAAAAGACCTAAATCCATTTGATTATGATAAAGTAAATTTATACACACCAAGCATCCATCCTGATAGTATTTGTTTTTATCCTAAATAGAAATCAAGGACCCAGCAGTGTGAGCAGACATTAACAGATGTGGCCTCATCTGCTGACAGTATGGCAGAGCTGTCAAAAAGTTCAAACAATTGAATAAGCTGCCTAATAGAGTCCAACTGTCCAAAAAAAACTCACAGTAAAGAAACAGCTGAGGTTTGGTCAAATACCCACTGATATGAATTAATCAAACAAATTTAAAGCAAATCTAAGTACTAGTTTATCCTCCCCAGATCCTCTTAATAAAAGATTTCTATTTCTACCAAACGAAAACAAGGAAAGCATGATCGAAGTAACATATATTTAAATTAAATAAAAAAGTCAAAGGCTAAAACCTGTCCATTAGAATTAATGCAAATGAACCACATCTGAATGCCTCCTCAGCTTAAACTCCCTCTTCAGTGAACACTAATGCTAATACTGTAATGCAAGCGTTATTAGACTCTTATCCCTTCCTTCTTGGAATCTTTTTTTTTTCTTTACACTTTTTCAGACTGGATCTTTGACATGTCTTTATTATTTTCCCAACTCCACTGAAAGGTGCTATCTTCCTTAGCCCCATTATTTCTTTGTTGACCCACTGAAAACAACATTATATCTCTGGTTACATTGTGTCCTTATTGAAAATGGAAACAGATGGGCCTGTTTTATGATAAAAACAGTAAAAACAAAGCATAAAACGCAAAAAAAAAGATATAATACATCGGCCGGAGATGATAACCTTTCATAAAAACTTTGTATGTGACCAGATTTTAGTGACCGGCATATAAATTTAAAAGGTCATATAATGTGACTACCCCTTTAAATCTATCAGTTCTAAGTATTATTAACAGAAAGGAAAGTAATTAGGATGAGTTTAAGCTTTTTAACATTATTACTCAAACCTCAATATATTAAAATTCTAATCAGATGTTTTAGTCTTTTTGTGGTATCATGACAACTTGAACTATTTCACTTTGAAACCCTAAACTTTAACATACTTTTTTTTTGGAATTATTGAGTCGGAGCGACACAAATCAGGATGTAACTGAAGTAGAAATGTTGAGTGTTGTTCAAAGAGTACGACCTGACTGCAAATCTGACATTTATGGAAGAGAAGCAAAATGAAAGTCAGTGCTGAAAGAAATTCATAAGTGTTTGCATGGGCATGCATCCACTGAAAGAAACATGGAAGAGGCAACATCATGCTGTGGGGATGTAGGGACAGGGAAGCAGGTCACAGCTGATTGGAAGCTGGGCAGAGTTAAACACAGGGAGGTCCTGGAGGGAAACCTGTTAGAGGTGAAGGTTCCCCTTCCAGCAGGCTGACAGTAAACCTTTCACCAGAGATACAAGGAGAGGGTTCATATCAAAGTAGTGCTTGCTATTAGAAAGGAATAGTTCACGTCCACGCCATTAAGAAATTATTTCATAGATGCCTTCAATCTGATTGAGCTTGATATTATTTACGGAATAATGAGCAAAAAAATTGATTCTGGATCTGCAAAGCATACAGTGATGTGAAGAGCAGCGGTAAACAGCTGAGCTACAAAGTAGTTACTCAGAGGAACAACGTTTTTTTTTCTTCTAAGTTGAAGTAAGAAGGGGAAAACAAAACAGTGATGAGTTTCCATAATTCCACTGTAAAAGCTGCCACCATTAACCAGTCCATTCCTAACCAAGCCATTCCCCAGTGACTCAGTCAATGGGCTTCAGTTCTGAATGAATGGAGATATTTTTACCCTTTGCTCTTTTTCTGTGGAATGTTTTCATTTCCAGACGTGCCAAAATTCTTTGGAACTGCTCATGAAGTGTGCAAGGGTGGGACAACAATATTAACCTCCACAGAGTGATATCTAATCAGTAGTAGTTGGTCGAGATTCAAGGCTCAGTGCTGGCCTTTCCACCTCCAGATTACAACACCAAAAATAAATGCATTGTTATGTCCCGCACAGCAAAAGAAATTCAGCCTGCAGCCTTTGTTTTTAATAAGAGGGACTGATTTAGAAGAAAAATCTTTGGTTTTCACTCTTCTGACATCTATGTTTAATATAAGGGTCTAACAATAATAAGGGTCTGATTTGACATTAAATAATAAACAAAACATTATATTCAAATGGAAGGAAACTGGTGGGGATGAATACATTTACAAAACTCAGCCAAACATGGGAATTATTTAGATGTTCATGTCAAATTTCCAGAAAATATATCAACCTCAAGGCATGGAGGGTGTGGTGAGGAGGGAAGGAAGGAAGGATGGAAAGGGGAAGATGGGGAAGGAAGTTTGAGAGATAAGTCTGTGCCAAAAAGAGAGGTTCACACAGCCCCACTAACAGGAGATTATTCATTATCCTGAACAAGGAGCCAGACAGGTTAAACATGACCGGATCGAGCAAACACTTGCATTCTTTACATCCAAATAAAGGCAGACACGCAATGATATACAGACAATTATCCACATCCTTACTTAAAACAATGACTGCCATCTTTTTGTAGAAGTGGAGAGAGAAATATAAATGAACTGTGGCCGCTGACCACTCCAGGAAACAAACTGATTCATATCCTAAAGTACCAACATCCCTATTTCCAGTCATTATCTTGGGTCCCTTTTTTAGACCACTGAGGATGGGCTACTTTTTCTGTCATGTATTTGTGCGGAACAATTGAACAGCTACAGACCACACCTGAAGTTAGAGATTAAGTCAAAGGAAGCATTGGAGAACACTGTTGTTTTTATACACAGGAGAAATAAGTCTAAATGAAAGTAAAGATCAAACAAATAGCAGCATTTCGAAGGCTGGGGCTTTCTAACTTTGCATGCAAACAAGAAATTCTTATTGCGTGAGTTAAACTCCTGTGGAACAAGGAAATCAGGAGACAAAACATATCAAAGACCTTTCTGAAAATAAATTCTCTGCCCTGATATTTTTGTGCTTTTGAGGACTAATCTCAGAAGTTCTTCCCAAGAGGAAACAGATTTTCTGATTCAAAGACCCCACACAGAGCCCCAACGCCATGTTAAAATAGCAAAGGAACTTCTGTCTATTTAGGATTTCCCCAAATATTTAGTAAACACTAATAAATAAGGAAACACTCATAGAACAGGAACATTTTAGATTGCTTGGGATGGAGTAGCGTTTCTTTTTCGTGGTCCTGGAAATGTACGAACATGTTTCCTGGAAAATTGGCAGCGACATAATGGTTACCGTAATAATGAAACCCTGTAGATGGTAAATATGCTAACCGGCTGAACTGCTGAAGACTGAAAATCATTCTGCAAAGGCTGCTATTTGACAGATGATTTCTAAACAGGGCAGAAATGTCCCAATCAAACAGTGCTTAAAAATTTAGAACCTTTCCAAAGCTGCACTTTTAAAATTCATACCATTTAAAGAAATAGAACGTATTTGGCTTCCATGGGGTCCTGTCTTTAGCAAAAGAAAAGAATGATAAACAATGATAAATACTCTAAATAAATTACCTTTAAATAAATTAACTCATAATTCTAGATAAAGTCATGGCCTCTATCAAAAAATATGTTTTTTAAGTATTTTTGAAATTTGAGGCAGCAAAGATATGGGTCTTTAATTGATTTGATTCTTTATTACAACTTTTATATGAACCATTTCAGCTATTTTTTTCCTGAAATGGAGAAAAAAGCAATTATGGCTCAAATGTAAATGATTCTAAACCCTTTAATTTTGAGATCTTACAACTGTAACAACATTTTGTAGAAATGTATGCATATTTACTGCATTTAATATCTAATATGCATTTTAACTGACCTGTTTTTGTTCCCCTTCTTGTGCTCCTACAGGTTTTGTGCTGGTGATTGGTCTAGTTACCTTCTACAGGATCGGGCCCTACACACACCTTTCCTACTCTTGCTACGTGAACATTGCAGCCTGCCTCCTGGCCACAATGGCAGCAGCCATGCTCATCTGGAACATTTTACACCGACGAGATGACTGCCTAGCTCCACGGGTTATAATCTTCCCTCCTTCGCTGGCATCACATTTTCATCCACGTTTAGACAACGACTATGTAGAGTCACCATGCTGAGTCGCGACTAATGGACCAGAGCGTGTTCTCCATAGCTCCTGTTATACTTTGGCTAGATGTCTGTGATGGGACTCTAAAGACTACATGCATCCCTGTGGCTCCACAGAGGCTGGATACTTGTTCTTACAGCAAATGGTTTCTTCTGCTCCCATCCCTTTAAATATAACCGAATTATTGCTGCTTAAAGCACAAGCACATATTTATCCCAAAATACCGCGAAGCAGCCCTAAAACATACATTCATACCGTATGTCATTAAAATCACCCTAAGGTGAGCTAAATGGTTGCTAACATGGAAACCTGGGTGTGGACTGCTTTCAATGCATCTTTGTAAAGAGATCAAGCTGGAACTTGACATATTTTTATAAAACGCACTTATTGAATGCTCCCTGACAGAATTTAGAATTGGGAATGATAATACCAGATTACCTCATACTTGTCTCCATCCATTAAAGTGTCTTATAATGTAAACACATATTGTTACTATTAGCATATCTTCAAGGTAAGGTGGTAAACTAACAAGGTGCTGATGTAAAGCAAGTTTTTAACTGTGCTTTTCTATATCAATAACAGTTCTAAACAGAAACTAAGAGCTATTGTTTTGATCTTAGTAAGCAAAAAAGCTAAATTAGATCATATCGGTAAAAGCAAAGGATGAAACAGGATTTATTCCAGTCACTGACACATGGAGAGAAAACATTGACTGTGAATTCATTTGGATTTTTAAAAAGAAAAAAAAGACTGAATATTACATTTATTTGATATATCGCTTTCCTTATCAAATTCTGCTTGCTTGTGGTACATACTATACACCTTAAATTAAGAGACTAGAACAGCGCTACCATTAGACATGGGAGATTGGGACCAATATTTAAGTTATGTATGAGTCCAACAGGGTAGCAAGCAAAGAGGCACATCAACTAAATACTATTGTAAATTCAATAAATATATTTCTAAATATATGAACTCGTTGGCTACTGTTGTTCTTATTGTTGACATTATTACTACGTAAAGCTGATAAAAGGGCAATTAAAGCATTAGGGATAAAGTTTAACAACATACCCCACATTTATTATGTCCACTGATAGACTTGTACTGATTATAGTCAAGATGGTCAAATAAAAAACAATGCTATAATACTATCAATGCTTGTTTTTATATTAGAATAGTTTAGAATGAGCCTTTTTCTGATACTCCGACATCATTTTAATTGTGCAAGGGGGAAAAAAAAGAAAAATTAAATCCATAGGAAAAGACAATTAAGGAATCAATTTTATTAATTATTTTAAAAAGATATTAAATATGTATCCATTGTTGTTACCTTTGTACCAAATTTTAAAAGAGCACCATTTTCTTTTTGTTTTAAGTTTTTAAATGACAAAACAATGACAAACGAAGGTAGATACATTTTCTTCAATGGCATGGTAACATGTGGAAAATTATGCAAAAAAAATTTATAAAATCAGTTTTAAAAATGAAGACCACAAAAAAAGATATACGGTAATAAAAATTTATTTTTGTATAGTATTAGGGCCAAGCTAGAGATCTTTTTATTTTTCATTTTGACAATAAAGTCATAACATTAGGAGAATAAAGTCGTAACATTATGAGAATAAAGTCGTAATATTATGAGAATAAAGTCGTAACATTACGAGAATAAAGTCATAACATTACGAGAATAAAGTCGTAGCAATATGAGAATAAAGCAGTAAAAATACAAGAATGAGGTCATCATACAACAACCTGTTTCAGAAAGAAAGCTTTGAGCTCTAACCAGCATATGACAGCCGACCAGCGTCACCAAACAGCTACTTGAGTCCACTTTGACTAATTTGATGCCGTTGTGCCAAAATATTTCCTTATTTGTCAAATCTATGCTGAAGTATAACTTAACATAATGTTCGATGTTCCTCATTTTAGGTAAGAAAGTGCTTCTTCTAATAGTTGTCATAAAATACAACTTGTTTCTCGTAATTTTAAGACTTTATTCTCTAAATATTACTTTATTCTCGTAATTTTATGACTTTATTCTCGTTGTGACTTTATTCTTGTAACTTTAAATCTTTATTCTAATAATTGTATGACTTCATTCTTGTAATTTTAAGACTTTAATCTCGTAATTTTACGACTTTATTCTCATAATTTTATGACTATTCTCGCTTCGACTTTATTCTCGTAATTTTAAGACTTTATTCTCGTAATTTTACGACTTTATTCTCGTAATTTTAAGACTGTATTCTCGTAATTTTACGACTTTATTCTCGTAATTTTAAGACTTTATTCTGGTAATATTATGACTTTATTCTCATAATTTTATGACTACTTTCGTTGCGACTTTATTCTTGTAATTTTACAACTTTATTCTCATAATTTTACGACTTTATTCTCGTAATGTTATGACTTTATTCTCATAATTTTATGACTATTCTCGCTGTGACTTTATTCTTGTAATTTTAAGACTTTATTTTCTTAATATTACGACTTAATTCTCGAAATATAAGAAAAAACATCTCTAGCCTGGCACTAATACTCCGTTGTAATTTTTGTGATATTTGTTGTGAAATTTAAATGCTATTACTTCATGAAAAAAAATTTAAAACCTGCATTTGTTATCATATCTTTATTTAAAAAATATAAACTATTTAGTAAACATCATGAAAGGCCATTCTACCAGGTCCAAAGAGCCATTCATGAAGCGTACAAGAACATTTCTGACAAACAAAACAAAATTATTATCATCATCTGTACACTTTCTGATCTCAAGCCAGCGTTAAGAACCCCTTAAATTGAAGACAAATAAACAATGGGGACGAAATCTATAATTTTGAAAATGAAATGTTTTCTCTTTTACAGACTTTCGTCATTTACTGTCAAATTTAAATGTTATAGATCGTCTAAATGTACAGATTCTTTGATTATTCAAAACATTTAACTGATATAAAAAAAACAGGCTAAAATAACCTGTTTAAACTGTGAAAGGTGATGCAGGCAAACTGTAAACCTTGATGAAAACCTTTGTTACTTCCAGAATTGGGTCTCAGAGTATCCAGGTTATTTCTGCAGGAAACCCAGTCCTGTGGGTGTAGATTTGCAGGAATCAAACACAATACCTGTATTTAATAAATAATGTTTTTTTTTTTTAAAACAGGCGGTCTTATAAATAGCCACTGGTGTTCAGCTTACTAAAGCTGTCATCAGGCCTGTTAAAATGGCTGGAATATCCGGCTGGTCATGCTGTTCTACCATGTGTTTGCTTTTATGCCATTTCCTTTTACACAATGTTTGTACGTGAGAAACTAACAACGCTACAAAAATCTGAATGAGTGCACAGAATCACGTATTCTCTGCAGGATCGTGTTTGGTGATGCTCTGAAATCCCTGATACTTTCCCCGATGACCAAGCGCGCACACACACCCACAGACACACAATCAGGAGCAAGTGACCCACCCTAATGCCGAAACCATGTAATGTTTGTATAAATGGAAGTGGGACCGTTTTTGACAAATCTGGCGACTCACTGCCTGTCTCTTTGTCGCAACGTGTTTAGAAATATACATCCCCCCGGGATACACAATCATTCTAGCAAACAAAGTCACTTGTATACAATCTGAAGGGTTCCTTCCCTTTATTAGGAGGAGATGTACAGAAAACCCTTAATTATGTCCTGTGTCATAAAGGCTTTTATAGGCATCTAAATAAAATCAAAAAATAAAGGATGGCACTAGATGGATCTATTTTGGCCACAGCACTATTTCTCACAATTTAAAATTAATACCTATGAATTAGAATAAATACATTAAAATAATTAATATGTGGTTAAAAAGGGTTTAAAATTTCCCTTTGGAATTAATAAAGTATTTCTGAACTGAACTGAATTAAAAAGCAGCTGTCAATGTTTTACTTCACTCACAACTGAAGGTCATGAATGAGATAAGAAACATCAAGTGTTAAAACGATAAAAAGCTTTTTGTGAACAGCTCAAGGCTGTGATAACAATGCTGACCCCATGAGATCTGCTTTTCTTCTGAACTGAGGCCCGTCGAAAAAGACTCATGAAGATGTGATGAAAGAAATAAAACAGCTCAATGAGTCCCTTGTCGCTACACTAGTCTCCATGTCTCCTCTATTTAAGACCTGACCTGGCCTTTAACTGAGAATACAACGCTATCACGTCGACACTGACCTTTTGATGAGCTTGATCGACTTGAAGGCTTCATCCATGTCCCCCACCGTCAGGTAGAAGCTGAAGTTCAGCATGGCATCATGGGTGCGCTTCTCACAATTCTCCAGGCCCACAAAGTCTCTTAGAGGTCGTCTGGACACCATTTGAGGGGATGGAGTAGGGGCCCCTGCTTTTGGCTCACTCTGAACTGAGGGTAACGAAGCCTCGGTGATCCCCTCACCAGGCTTAGGATTACATGTAAAGTCACACAGCAAAGTAATTTAAGTGAGGACACTTTGGAGAATTACTGTAAAGTATTAATGTTATTTTACAGGAAACATTTATACATAGAAAACCCAGGAAGAGCAATAATACTAGGGATGAAGTAGGCAGGAGAGGAGGATGCTAAACAACCGTGTATCATGTAACAAACTCAACAATCAAGAAACAAGAAAACTAAACAAAAAAAGAAAAATAACTGAAAATATCTCCATCCGTTTGTCAGAAGTGTACATCAACTCATATTAATTTTATCAAACCGTACTTTTCTTCATGTTGAGATGGTGATAGGACATCAGAGGGTCATTAAAAATGAAAAACTGATCATAAATGATCAGGTTTAAAATTATCCTTCAGGCTTCAGATATATACATACATTCATTTGAAACTTTGTTAAGCAATGATAAAGGTTGTAGGAGGTTTTCTAACCTAATCAGAGCTTTTTAATGGATAAAAATCAGAGTAGAGGCCTGAATTCATATATGACATCCTGTTAGGATAATTTGGACCCTGTGTATATTTGAAAGAAAACCCAGAATAAAGCCCAAAGGTGTTTCTTTGACAATCCTCCAAACCGAGAAACATGTTGGTCTGAAGAAATATTTGAAAGGGAGCAAACATGTTTGTTTTGACTTGATGCATTATAAAGACAAACACGATCACAGCAGCTGAAAGAGGGGAATTACAAACACAGAAGCGCTCTAAATGGCCAAGCACTTACTTGTGGAAGAAACACACCACCTATCCGATACAATAGCTGGGGTTTGTTAGATCAGACAAAAACGTTTACATAAGAACCGTTAATAAAACGCATTAATGTGCTATTAAATAGAACCCTAACAGAAACAGAACACCTTCAAATTACTTTGATAAGTAAAAAGAAATGAATAAAATGGTTCCTATATCAAAATGTGGTAACAAAGAGTGTGGCTGTTGTCACCTTGCAGCTAAAGTAATAGTACGGCACATCGAGGGCGAGGAGGGCTTGAACGCCTGAAGGTTCGGAGAAGCAGTCCAGCAGCATGATCCCATGCTCCTGTGTACAGAAGAGCGTCACCACCGACAAGTTCTCCTGAGAGACGGGACACAAACACAATGTCAAAATCTGTTCGTGTTCCTGATCAGTCCTGCCAAACGCTGCTGGATGCTCAGTTTTAAGCTTTTAACAAGTTACTATAAGAACACATCATATATCCAACAGGTCACATCGATTTAGAAAAGTGTTGTTTACCAAATCTGAATGACCGTGTGCGGATTTTTCAGAACCAACTGGCGCGGTCTCACAAACAAAGAGACGAGGTTCACTTTCATCCCAGAAGTGAGACACAGGAAAGCGACCACTGAATTCATGTTCTTGAAACTTCTGCCTGAAATAAAATTTAAAAAAGTGTAAATTACTGTGTGGGACATAATGAAATCAGAGCTGATACAATACAGAAAAACAATGTCTTTACTTATCACTTTCATCTCGCTGAGAGAAACCAGAGGAAGGTCTGCCAGTGAAGAAGTCAAAGTGTGTCACAGTGTGCATCTCAATGTGATAGAAATACACTTTGTGATCTGGTCGCCCGTTTACCTGAGAGGAAAAATAAAAGGTTGGTTTGAAGCAAGAGTTTATAATATGAAGAGCCCATTTCTTTTGGAAGATTATGGTTTAAAAGAACAAAGTGTGACTGTATGATGTTTATTAACCTGAGAGATTAGGATGCTAACTTGGCTGCCATTGGCATTGCACTTGACAGACCTCAGGGCTCCTAAATTGGTGATGTGTTCTGCCAAATTTTTAGCATCGCAGAGAGGTTTGGCATTTCTATAAAAACAGAGAAAACAGTGCTCATGAAATGCAGCAGTTATTCTCAGTTTGTACGTTATTGAAATCTGAAAAGCGTTCCATGTGAACTGCTTACCTTCTGGAGAGGTTGTAAACTCTAATGTTTGCTGTGTCGGTACCGACAACAAGGTATGACTGGCACACATTGAGTAGGACAGGGTTGCCCTCTGCTTTTGAGAAAGTTAAAAGCTGCTTCACTGTGCCCTGAGTAAGGGAGAATATCAGAGGTTCAAAAACATGGCAACCCCACGACTACAAAACCAGTTTGAGCATCAGACGGCAGGTTAAGTTTGTGGGAACATACCTGAGGGGTGTGAATTTGAACTTTGTTCGTTTCGACAGTGTAAATGTTCTGATCGTGTACAACAACAACTTGAGAGTCACAAGGAAAGGATCCTGCAATGGAAGGAGACGATGATGATGATGATGATGATGATGATGATGATGATGATGATGATGATGATGATGGATGGAAGGCAAAGTGATGAATCTGAATGAAAGCTGTTGGAACTTTCTGAAGGCACAACTACAAGTTTCAATGGATTCAATTGGGATTTATTTATTATCATACATAAACAATAATTAGTGCATAATTATCAATCAGAAAGGAAATTACAAATGTTTCAATGAAAGTCTGAAAAGTGCAGCATGCGTTTATATCCAGCTTCATTTACCCTGCTACCCCTAAAAAAAATCCAGGGCAACAAACTGCCCTCAGAAATATTAGTCAAGATGAAGTCCAACTGTGTGTATGTATCCTTTGCATAAATGCAGCAAATTTGTTTATGGTCCCAAAGGCTTTCTAAAAGATAACCTACATCACAAAAAGAGAAGTTTAAAGCAGGGTTAGGGTCTAAAATAACATCCCACAGAGCTCTGTTCAATCCATAATCTGGCTGAAGAGAGGATGGACCTGCTGACCTACCAGGACATGGATGCCCACCTAAAGAGACAGGCTGGGCAAAGAAACCTTTAACCAGAGAAACAGCCAAGATAATGGTAACCTTCAAGAAGCTGCAGAGGTCCGAAGCTCAGGTGGACCTGTTGATTTGACAACTATAAGTCATACATTCCAAAGATTCTATGTTTAAGGAAGAATGGTAAGAAGATAGTTGTTCTTTGTGATTTCCACAGGCCATGTAGGGAGGCACAGAGAACACCTGGAAGACATTGTTGGTCGAATGCAGCCAGAGCAGATTCATGTTTCACAATGGTCTAGTCAAAGATCAGAGCTATAACATCTTTACCATAAGACTAAAAAACATCTTTGTTTGATCTGTGACTGAGCTGGAGCTGCTTAGCAAAGAGGAATGGGCGAGGATTTTAGTCTCTGGTTCTAGAGAACGCAAAAAAGTACCAAGAACTTTTAGCTTCAGTTTCAATCATTTCAATCTTTTTTAGATTGTGCTTAGTAATCTTTTTTTTTTTTTATTAGTCAAAGAATTACCATGATGACCATGTTATATGGGGGAGTGGTGGCCTAGTGGTTAGGGTATTGTCCTTGGATCCCAGAGGTTCTGAGTTCAAGCCCCACTCCCACGGACTACCACTCTGGGTCCCTGAGCAAGATCCTTAACCCCCACAATGCTCCCTGGGCGCTGCACAATGGCAGCCCACTGCTCCCCAAGAGAATGGGTTAAATGCAGAGAGTTAATTTCGTTGCCTTGTACTTTTGACAGTGTAATGACATTTAAATTGAATTCCATTCTAATAATATTCTACATGTGACAAAAAATATAATTGTTAAAGAGGTAGTTTAAGAGATAAGGATAGATTATAACTTGGAATATTAAATATCCTGAGTGATAATGAAGATTATAGTCCAGTATTATACCTGTCATGTGCAGACCCGTGGGTGAGAGCTCATACACAGAGACCTTTTTCCCGTCCCAGACGGTCACTGAGTCCTGTCAGAGGGACAAACACACTAATTCAGTTCCCAATGTAAGAGTAGAGCTCTGTAGAGTCCTTGTCCTTTGTTTGGGTTTACCTTGCTAACACACACTCCTTTGACTTGCATTACAGACTGAAGAGGTAGCGTCACTCCTGTGGTGAACTGAGTGATGCTCAGCTGGGTTGGAGTAAGCTGCACTGCTGCCACCTGCTGACTGAAGTGGGCCGACATCACATGCTCACATAGGATCAGAACCGTTTTTGAGTTGTTCGCAGCCAACAGGTTCTGATTGGAGCCCCACTGAAATTAAATGAATAATTTTTTGAAGGGACATTTTCATATAGTCTGTTTGCTGCATTTTAGAGTTCCATTAAAATTGAGGAAATACCTGCAGCTGGATGACATTCCCATCTACTTCCGTAGGCGTCTGTAATTTCCACAGGGCTTTAATGTCTGCTCTGTAGCTGCCGATGCTGCTGTGCTGCATCACCATCTTCCACATTGCTATGCGGCCATGGGAGGTTCCAGCCGCCAGGATTTCTGCAGATTTCACATTATTAGAAAGGAAATAAGAATCCAGTTCCAGACTGGTTTAAAAACTTTTCCTCTAAAGTAGAGGAAAGAAAGCAATGTTCAGTATTGGCATTTTGTTTTTACCTTTGGGTGCACAGTAAGAAATACAGCTGATTATCTCCCCTCTCTCAAATCCCATATTCTCATTAAGAGACAAAGCATAGTTGTCATCTCTCTCTAGGTCCCATATTCTGACAGGTGTAAGGGAAAATAAGACTAGTTAAAAACAATCATGTACCTTTTTGTATTTACAGACACAGCATTACAAAAACTGACCTAACAGTTGGTTCCCCTGTTGCTGCAATTAGGAGGCTGTTCTCTGTGCAAACGATGTCAACGTTCTGCCCGGCTTTGCTGCTTAACTTAACCTGTAACATCAAACATCTTTGTATAGTGGCTTGCATTTGGTTTCAAAAAATAATGATTCTTATATATATTTAATACCAAGAGAACCAGAAATTACTTATTTTCACCTTTGTTGATACCGAGTTACACTAAAAAAGTTTGAATACAGCGTACCTTCATAAACTCATGTGCGCCACCTTCACGTAACACTGTGTACTGCGACAACGTCAGGGTGTCTGTGATGACTACCAGTGCATCTTTGTTTTCAATGTAGAGAAGTTTCTTGATGGGGCTTTCTGCCCTAAAAAGTTGGCTTGGTTTACACTGTTCATCCATAGCATAGACATTTCCTGAGTAATATAAATGTTTAATACAATGTTAATAACATTTTAAAGAACAGATCTAATTCAAATGTTTTTGAAGTACAGCAGAAAAACCTCACCATCTGAAGTACTAACATAGAATCCAAGTCCCTCCTGAGGACCCATCTTCAGAGGCGCTCCCTTCCAGCTGAACTTCTCCAGAGCAGATTCATCTCCACTCACTGATGCTCGAGCCAACATTGCCACATCACTGTTGGAAGATTACAGCTCCACTATCAGGGTCTCTGAGTTTCAAAGTAAGTAAAAGAGGCTTTTCTTCGTATTAAACATTGTTCTTATTGACTTTGAATTAAAATAATCTTTAATTTCAAGACTACAATATTTAAACGGGACATTGTGCCTGGGTTGAGTTCTCAAAAATTCAAAAATAACAAATTGATCCTAACTAGAAGAGGTGTTTATGAATTTAAAATATAATATTTAAGTATTAAAGAAAATCCAATAATTCAGGATTTTTAAAGCAATGATCGTCACCACAAAGGTTTGTGGGACAATTGAATTTTTATGGTTTCCCTTTTCAACACAACATGTCTTCTAATAAATGCTGGAAACTAAGACAAACCCTCCTAAACCTGAAACTGTCCACATGATCTCATATTACATAAAAAAAATAACTTTATGTCTTTTATTGTTATTTTATTTGATAGAGAGAAAAAAGGTAGTGCATGTTACATGGAAATAAAAATGGTACATCATTTTGTTGGTGGAGATGGGTAATACTCCAGTCCAACTGTAGAGTCAGTGTTATGGTGTGGGGATGGTTTTAAAGAATTTTAGAACTGATGGTCTGATGGATGGAGAGGAATACAAATCAATCCTGAGGGAAAATCCATAAGAGGCTTGAGACTGGAAAAGAGGTTCACCTTTCAGCGAGACATCGAATAAAGTCAGGGATTCTAAAGAGGATTGACTAAGAGTTCTGAATACATTAAGTACACTAATTCTTCAGATCTAGAAAAGAAATATATTTGAAAGTAATGATAGATAGACTACTTTGGAAGAGGAGGGTAAGGGAGGAAAGCATTTTAACAGATGGCATTACAGTATGGTGCACAAACTGTATTACTTTAAAGGAAAAAACCTTGCAGAGTCATTCGCTCTGCAGAAAAAATCATCTGCACCCCTCTGCCCTCACTGGACAGCATTGCCTCTTCCCAGTACGACAAGATTCAGAGACAGTTCTTTTCCCAGTGCTATCAGGACTCTCAACACACACAGAAACTATCGCTTACCGGTACATTATTTATTCTTTAAGGGTGTTTTTACACCTGCAGCTTTAGGTCAATCTTAATTTAGATCAACCCCAAATTCTATTTTGTTTTAGTCAGTGTGAAAGCACAATCTGACTCTAAAGTGCACCAAACTATAGTGGCATGAAGAGGTGGTCCCGGTTTGGCTCCAGCCAAACTCTGGTGCACTCTAGTTGATGTCTGAAAACAACCATAATCTACATTAGTATCATTATATATAAAGGACATAAATTATCTTGTTAATCGTAAGTATCTGCGCCAGATGAGGATCTCACAGTGCATGTAAAGGACCATTAATCTGGTCCAATGGCATATTTTACCATTATTTACACTATAGTTTGATGTTGTACATACAAACCATATAAAAAAAAAAGATGAGCTAAAAATATCCGGTGTACCTCAGTCTCCAACATAAAAGATTTATCCATACATCTCTGTTCCTTTTTAAGTGGCAGTTGCCTATCGATCTGTGTATCAGTGTGTGAAAGTTTTACTGTAGCTATACAGTTAAGAACTTGTGTGGTCAGTATGACTAGAAAGGCGGCATATAAATTAAATCCAATTAGTTTACAAATCTGATCTAAGGCTGTAATACATGAATGATTTTAAGAGCGACTTCAGAAAAACAGAAAACTTAACTACTTACTCTCCAGGAGAGGCAGGCTTGAAAATGCAGCATGTTAAAGGTTTGCTGAAATCATACTTGGCTAGGGAATTTCCTATTAGTCGCCCTCTGGCATCTAATTTCCAGACTGCTAGAGCTCCATTCTGTCCAAAAAGAAAATGTAAAATATTTAGAACAAATTATGCGTTTATGATTTATTATTTTTTATATTTGAATGGAGGCTATGGAAATGAATAAGAGCTGCATACCTGGTCTCCGGTTACCAGGCGGCTTCCAGAACCACTCCATTCCAGAAGTGCAATGCTGGCTGTATGTGCACTGGTTAGCAAAGTCTGATCTCCAGATGGGTGTGTGAGGAGCATCACCTCTCCATTCTCCCATCCCAATGCCAGGACTGGCTTTAAGGGATGCCAGCGCAGCACAGTGGCCTGGTGAGCTCGCTCTACGTGGCAGTCCTCCACACACTCACCCTGTGTTTGGACAGATCCACTTATAAGTGTAAGAGGTTTTCTACGCCTGATTCACCTAGCTATAGGAAAATAAAACAGTGACATGTTACATAGTGTGTAACACTTAGCCCAGAGTTTACCTGTTGTAGGTAAAGGTCAACGCTGCCACCGGAACCAGGACTGCTTGAGGCCACAGCCAGGATGGGAAGAGTTGAGTGCCATGTCAGATAAGAGGGATGATTGCTGTTTTCAGGGGCCTTAATACGGTGATCGAAATACACAGACATGACTCCCCTGTAGGACGGAAGGGGATACAAAGATGTTCAAAGAAGATAAGATGCAGTTATCTATTTTAAGTATGATGCAGCACAGCAGTATAACCATACAGCTAATGTGTGACCGTTTGGTGCTACTATAGGCTGCTATTTGCAAGCTAAAGCCCAAGAACTTACTGTCTTTGTTTCTTGTGTTTTACATTTACCTTTACTTGAGGGTCTATGTTTGTTATTATGTCATTCAATGTAATTTTACCAAAGGATTTAATTTACAAGGTCTAGCACGAACTCGGACGGATTAAAACGACGTGTTTTGTTTTTCCTTAATATAAAACAGTCAGCTGACATGAATGTTAGATACGTTATGAGTAAAAAATGACAAACTTTACAGCATCAATTAGCTGCTAGCATTAGCTTAGCTAGCTAAAGTTAGCGTCTTTGGTCGACCTCTCGCGAAAACAAAAACAAACAAAACATAATTTCGGAAAATATTTAGTGATGAATATTACTTTACCTTCTTTTCAATTTGCTACACTTCGTTTAGTCACAATTAACGGAGCGTAGGACCGTTACTTCAAACAGTGAAAAGCGTCTTCCTCGGTTGCCCATGACAACCTCACAGTCTACGTAAAGGGGCGGGGCGACGGAAAACAACGAAGGGAGCCGAAGGCTCGATCCGAATACCTTAAATCGGCACGCGGGCTATCCCAATGTTGTGTGCAGTAGTTTGGCAAGCCAAGAAATATGAGGTTAAAATTGAAATTCACTAGAGGCCCTCTCGGTCTGCCATAGTACAGAACAGCCCAGAAGTTCAGGCACAAATGTCTCATACATGCATGTAGCATAAAGAACCGTTTAAATTAAAGTTTAATTAGGTTATAAGTCTACAGAAAAGGATTACGGCCACTGCAAACAAAAAAAAGTTAACAGATTTTTAAATTTTATTTCAGTTTAATATGGGGAAAAAAGGACTGAGACATTTTTTTTTTTTTTTTTTTTATAAAATATAAAAAAAAACTTTCTTTTTCCAGCGGCACTAATATTCTTCCGTAAAAGTCATAAAGATGTGCATTTAAAATGTCAAATATTCAACAGCATTCTTTTATGTTTTACAGACAATACGGGTCTTTGAGAAGTGACAGAATTGAAAATATTCTTGTATTTCAGTTTTAATCAGTGTTAGGGAAAAACTTTTTTGCCATCGGCATTTATGGATGTTATTTGCCCATGAGTATAATTATATTGCCAATGTTATATACTCTTTCATTACCATAGTATAACTTCCAAGTCAAACTGTGTCATTTATATTTTTGCACCATATCTGTAGTTCTTCCCATGTTTTTTTTTTCTTCTAGCTGCTAGGCAACAGCAGGATATTACCATTTTAGTACATTGAATTTGATTTTTAGGGTAACAGGCTATTTCATAGATTTGATGTAGGCCTATTTGTTTGTTGTCCTTAATTCCCCATGTTGTACAGTCATGCTTTCAATCAAAATCATGAAATAGTTTGTAATCAAAATTGTGGGCAATTCATTTATCATTTTGAATATATGTGTATATATATATATATATATAGCGCAGTATCTTTTCTGTTCCTAAAACTGCATTCTTCTGAACTGAGATGTTTGATTTTTTTTTTTCAGGGATCAGCTGTAACCACTCTTCAAGTTTCGGGGTCACTGTCTCGAGTGCCCCAATGGCCACGGGTATCACTGATGCATTGATCTTCCAGTTTTACTCCTGCTCTTTTTCCCTATATTTTCATTTAAACTGTAATGGCTCTACTGTTCCACAAGGTTATGATATTCAGTTTGTCAGTCAATTTGAATATCTCAAAGCCACATTTTAAAAGAAACCACAATTCTTTCATTCGTCCCCCTCCCCTGTTTTATTCTAAATTCAGCAGGCTAAAGGCAGGTGGGAAGAAGCTGTTGCAGAACCTGCTGGCCCTGCAGTGGATGCTGCGAAGCCTCTTCCCAGAGGGCAGCAGGGAGAACAGTCCATGTTGGGGGTGGGAGGTGTTACGGGCTCAGGACATGCAACGCTGGGAGGAAATGTATTTAATGGAGGGAAGAGGAGCCCCGATGATCTTCTCTGCTGTTCTCACCTTCTTCCAGTCTGAGGCGCTGCAGCCTCCACACCACACAATGAGACAGCTGGTCTGAACGCTCTCTATGGTGCTTCTGTAGAAGGTGGTGAGGATGGGTGGGGGCAGGTGGGTCTTCTCATCTTCTGCAGGAAGTACAAGTGCTTCTGTGCCCTTTTGACCAGTGAGGTGGTGTTTACATTCCAGTTGAAGGTGTCTAGTGATGTGCACCCCCAGGAATTTGGTGCTGTTGACCTCCTTACAATATATGATTTTTTTATTTTTTTATTACCACCAGCAGAGCTAGGAAGGACCAACAAGGCTCCTCTTTCTCAGGAGGTTTTCTCCCAAGTTGCACTTTATGTGAACACACATGCTGCATCTCTATGTACCCATTTTTTTCCACCATGGATGTTTATATGAATGTTTTAAACTTTTTTTTAAAGAATTCAGGGTGATTAACATTTAATATTTCAGAATTTTACTTCAACAAGCACTAAAGGATTCTTATTTTTCTCTTTTCTATTTGTAATAATAATTTCTGTCTGTGTACACTGCAAAAACGATCTAGAAATAAGTNACTGAGATGTTTGATTTTTTTTTTTCAGGGATCAGCTGTAACCACTCTTCAAGTTTCGGGGTCACTGTCTCGAGTGCCCCAATGGCCACGGGTATCACTGATGCATTGATCTTCCAGTTTTACTCCTGCTCTTTTTCCCTATATTTTCATTTAAACTGTAATGGCTCTACTGTTCCACAAGGTTATGATATTCAGTTTGTCAGTCAATTTGAATATCTCAAAGCCACATTTTAAAAGAAACCACAATTCTTTCATTCGTCCCCCTCCCCTGTTTTATTCTAAATTCAGCAGGCTAAAGGCAGGTGGGAAGAAGCTGTTGCAGAACCTGCTGGCCCTGCAGTTGATGCTGCGAAGCCTCTTCCCAGAGGGCAGCAGGGAGAACAGTCCATGTTGGGGGTGGGAGGTGTTACGGGCTCAGGACATGCAACGCTGGGAGGAAATGTATTTAATGGAGGGAAGAGGAGCACCGATGATCTTCTCTGCTGTTCTCACCTTCTTCCAGTCTGAGGCGCTGCAGCCTCCACACCACACAATGAGACAGCTGGTCTGAACGCTCTCTATGGTGCTTCTGTAGAAGGTGGTGAGGATGGGTGGGGGCAGGTGGGTCTTCTCATCTTCTGCAGGAAGTACAAGTGCTTCTGTGCCCTTTTGACCAGTGAGGTGGTGTTTACATTCCAGTTGAAGGTGTCTAGTGATGTGCACCCCCAGGAATTTGGTGCTGTTGACCTCCTTACAATATATGATTTTTTTATTTTTTTATTACCACCAGCAGAGCTAGGAAGGACCAACAAGGCTCATCTTTCTCAGGAGGTTTTCTCCCAAGTTGCACTTTATGTGAACACACATGCTGCATCTCTATGTACCCATTTTTTTCCACCATGGATGTTTATATGAATGTTTTAAACTTTTTTTTAAAGAATTCAGGGTGATTAACATTTAATATTTCAGAATTTTACTTCAACAAGCACTAAAGGATTCTTATTTTTCTCTTTTCTATTTGTAATAATAATTTCTGTCTGTGTACACTGCAAAAACGATCTAGAAATAAGTAAAAATTTCTTAAATTAAGTGTATTTACCCTTAATTTGAGTAGGTAAAATAAGATAATTAGATAATATGCACTTGAAATAAGACAATGCAATTGTTTTTTTCTTATTTTAAGTGTAAATTGTCTTGTTCCATTGGCAAAATGTCTCTTTTACCTCCTCAATTCAAGAACAAATGCACTTATTTTAAGAAAAAATGACTTATCTAGATTTTGATTTTTTGCAGTGTATCGTATGAGTATTATGAAGATCTCATAACGACTCATGTTTATAAATGTCTAAAAGCTGGATTTCCAGATCCAACCAAAGCAATACATGTGCTAAAATAACCCCAATTCTTATTTTGATAGAAAATAAATTAGAAATGTTCAAGTTGTTTGTAAAGAAAAAATTTTATTTTTGGAAAACGTCAGCACCAGTCACCGCCGGAACTGGTAACAGTTGAGCTTCCGTTATTTCAAAATGCATAGATACACTGGAACATTCACAGGATGTCCTTTGGAAACAAAGAGGGGGAAAAAATAGTTGTTTGCACAGGAAAGATGATGATCAAAGGAAGTTCTCGTTAAACGCTGATATTTTGAGCTAAAAAAAACGGAAAGCAAAATATGAAAATCTTACACAATGTTTTGGAACAGACACAAGGAATGCCTTCTGCAAAGCTCCAATTTCATCATAATTGTGCAAAACATTGTTCACCAGTGTTCACTTCTTTTTCCTGTATGCAGCAGGATGTGTAATAAAAAAAGCAAAGCACCTGTGAGTCAATCTGGAGTTCAAAGGACATCCTTCTTCAATGATCCGGACTGATTTCCGACAGATCCGTTCATTTATACCAGGGAACATCATCTCCGCCACATCTAATTGGCTGGAACGCATTTCATTTCCTTATACATTAAAATGTTCACATTTAGTATATCAGGATTCTAGGCTCAGGGCCTTTGGATCCTGTAGCTGTTTCTTGAGGCTCTTGTCAAGCAGAACCAGGCTCTGCAGGGCTAAATTGCGGCAGTCTGCGTCCGGGTCTCCTTCCGCCACATCTATGGACAGAGACAACAGGAAATGACAACTTTTATATTCATACTCCACGTTTCTTTCAATAGATTCTCTTTCTGTCCTTTTGCATTTTGTCTTTCAGTTTATGCTCAAGGCAGGGAGAAAATAAACTTAAACTCAATGGATCACGTCACAGCAAGACCCCGCAGGACAGGACATCCTGGTTCCCCTTCTCTTCCCATAAATGCCCAGTGCAGCTGTACATGTGTTTGTTCAGAAATCTGTCACTGATGGGAAACAGAAATACATGATGTGGGTGTAGATGTGAACTAAAGGTCATATAGACTTATTACGCGTTGAGAAGGGGTACAAGGAAGGAAAGACAGAGGGACAGGAGGGACGGAAACTAGAAAATAAGAGAGTAAGAAAAGCAATGAAAAAGGCTATTAAATGCTGTGATCTGATTAAAGGTTTTTCTATCCGCTTTGTCTTTTTTTTTCAGATCTGGAAATTCCAAAAATTCCAAATTCAGTGAAAAACTGGATGTTTGAATTAATTTTTTTTGTCCATCATGTCAGCAAAGTCCTACCTGCCAGCCAAGTCCTGGTTTCAAACAGCTGTTCGCCGAGGTCCACCAGCAGACTTTGACTGGGCATGCTCAGGAACACGGAGCAGACGGCGAAGAGGACTCCTCGCCTCACCATCCTTAAAGACAAAAAAGAAAATGTTTTGTCATTGTCTCCTTTCTATCTCTTCTTTCTTTCATCTTTTCTCTCTTTTTTTTTTCTTTTTTCCTTTTCTTCTTCTGTTTTTCTGCTCTATTTACATTGCAGTGTCGATATAAACTGTAAAAGTCCCTGCATAATTATAATAAAGCAATTTATATGCATAAAAAACAACAAAAAAAACAAAAAAACAAAACAAAGAAAAACCAATTAGAAGCCTAAATCCAAACATCTAAAAGGTGACAGGAATCAGACGTACTGGTCAACATGGTACCGAACTGCCCACACAAAGTCCAGCAATGCAGCGCCCATCTGTGCAGCAATCTGGAAAAGCAAAAACCGTTCACACTTCATGTAAACATTAAAAGTCTCTGACTTCTTTCTAACCAGCATATAACAGTAATAATGTTAAAAGGAAAGCAATAATAAAAATGTGGATCAAAGAACCGGTGCATTGAGAGCCAGGTGCATGAAGAGGCCCAGAGTGTGAATCAAGCGGCCAAGAACCAGCTGGTCACTGCCCAACAGGTCAAAGGTCACCTCCGGCCTACAGGAAAAAGTGTTGACAGTTAGGAGCAGGTAACATTAAAACCTTCAGGCTTAAAATAAAACACCTACCTGTCGTAATTTTTCAGCAGAGGAAAAAAGAAGTATCCAGCAACAGGAGCATAACGGTTTGGAGCAGCTTTAGATACAGGCTGGGCGGAACCCTGCAGGAAAATCATTACAACCTGAGAAGACGTATCCTTCCCCTCCATAGTTATGAAGATTCTCAGACATCCAGGACAGTCATTCCAAAGTGGTCCAGTAGTTTTTTCAAAAAACTTTTTTGGAAGGCCTTTGCTGAATCACCAGTATTGAGAATATTAAGATTTATTTTTACAGAGCACTGAGAAATATGCCAAAAGTATTTGATCCCCTGTCTTGATTCACATAAGAGTTAAAGTGACATCCCATTCCTAATGTCTAGGGGTTTAATGTGACGTCCGTCCACCCTTTGCAGCTAGAACAGCTTTAATGGGGAACGCCATTTTTTTTACATTTGGCCCTTGATTTTATGTTATTACATCATTTTCTACTCAGCCATATAAGTTTTGTGTCATTTGGAGCCGTTCTGAAGATATTCCATTAGGTTATATCCAAGTAACGTCTTCCTATGGGCAAAGAGTTAAAGGCACAAACTAAACTGTTCATAATTTATTCTTTATGGTACGTCAGCATTCATAACATGTAGGCGAATCACTGTCCCCAAGACATCTGCGATTATATTTTTTATATTTATATGTTTTAAAAACAAAGCGGCGCTTGTAAGATTATTAGTTTTGTTTTTAGTTAATGTGCTGAGAAAATGTCTGAGGTCCTCACAGAACAGCTGGATCTATACTGAGTAGAGGCGAGTATTGGCATGAGTGTTGCGATTCGATACATGTCGCGATACTTGGGTTACGATACGATATTATCACGATATTGCAGTATCACTATATATTGCCATATTTTCCCCAGCTATCAAAATCAAATGATGAGATAAAACAGCAAGTGCTGTATATTTTCATCAGAAAATATTGATTAGGTATTATTATCCATGTTGTTTGGGGTTTTCTTCCACTGTTACTGCCTCAAATACAGATTTGGTGCTGCATGCACAGTTAAAGGGCTCCACAGCGCTTTCTGCCAGAGTGGTGGTGCAGAGGTAGCCCATTTTGCCATCAATGTTTTATGTAACCATTTTTTTTTAAATCGATACTAAGAAGTGAAAAATCGATATTATATTGGGCAGCCGAATATCACGATATATCGCCAAAACGATTATTTCCCACACCCCTAATACTGAGATTAAATCCCAACCTTGCGGACTCTACTCACTGATGAGGTAAAATGTAAAAACAGCAGTTGGCACTGGAATTTATGTACAGGGTGCACTGATTCCTCATAACAAGCCAATTTGAAAAGGTTTAAATGAGCCTGGAAATGCAGGGATTGGAGAGAAAAACACTGATCAGCTTTATCTACCTTAGAGATGCGTTTCGTCTTGCTTTGGATCCTCTTTTCCACCACCTGTCTCCAGTCGGCGGGATCGCTGGAACGGTACGATGTCAGCTCTGAGGTAGTAGCAGCACCGGTTACTTTATCAGCAACCGGCTTAGAGAGCTCCTGAGCTGCCAAGGCCAACACCTGCAGTACAAACACACGATTGCTTTATGAATACAGGAAACTACAGAATCAGATGACTTTAAAAATAGGATAACAGCCGGTTTCACCTCTAAGATGTCCATTCGCTGCCGGAGGCTGTAGTTTAAGGAGTAAAACTCTGTAGTCAGGTACTGAGTCACCTAAGCAGAGGACACAGTCCCATTTAGAAAAAAAAAACAAAATTTGTGATAGTTAAAGTAAGAAGAGAATGATAATTTTGTGATAATGATTAAATATCATACAGGAATGGCGTCGATGACAGTGAGAGCCACCATTGCTGCCTGCCGTAGAGCCAGGAAGCCATTAATGCTGTATTTATCCTCCATGTGCAAAAGCACTTTGGTCATCTGGACGCTGATCTGAAAGTAAGAAATATCACACCTGATGTAAGAATAATCAGAAACTTCCAGAGGGATTAACAGCAAGAACAAACCAGAACGAAGCAGACTAGCACAAGGAACTTATGTAGAAACATGGAGGTCGTTCTAACACAGATATATAAATATTTAATGAATGCAGAAGGTCTATTTTAACTATTATATTTATTATTTATGTATTTTAAAAAGGGACAGTGCATATCCAACAATATTTCAATATGGCAGAATTAGCCTGAAGGCTAATTCCAATATCTAGTCCCTGAGAAGTCCAGAAGAAAAAAGCAAGAAAACACTAAAATACAGTAGATATCAATGAATCATTCAATAAATATAAATAAATAAACTGTAAACAGGAAGTGCATAGGATGCCATCTCCAGACTCCAGCTGACATGCTACATATTAGCAACCAGCTTCTCCATATTAAAATGCCTGAAGCATCGAGACAAGATGCTTAAAAAAGAAGAAATCCTTTTTATTTCACCTCCTTCGCTGCAAAGATGTTCCTCCGCACCAAACCAGCTGCAGCTCTCAAACTGAGCTCCACTCGCTCCGAGTCCTCAGAAGATATCAGAGCTGCGTTAATTAACAGACGGGAAAATATAGGAGTTGGAACCAGACAAACACATTTAGATTTATTTTAAAGGATAAACGAACAGAGCCGTACTTTCCAGACAGTCCCGCAGGTAACGAGGTGGAGACGCCTGACTCATCGCCTGGTCTCCAGACATGTCATATGGAGTCAGGTCATCATCGCTGCGTTGATAACACACGCAATGAAAACATGAAATCATTGAATCCTAATGGGGTTAAATGAGTATCTACCTACCTATCAAGATCTGAGTCTGGATCAGTCTTTGATCGCGGTGATGCTGGTGTGCTTCCTGACGCCGCAGTAGGATCGGATGGTTCTCTGATCTCCTCAGCATGGGGGGCTCTGCAGGTAGCAGAGATCATTAAATACACACATCACTCCCCGAAAGCCATGAAATCTAATTCAACCTCTGAGTTTAGTGGCTTTATTCAAAGAGGGAATAAAATGCATGTCAGGAAAATATTCAGAGGTGAAGTTTTCAGACCTCTAATGATCCTTTTATGAATAAATATGCTTAAAGAACTGTTAAGCTGGTCAGATTTTCTAGTAACTTATCATAGCTCATTTATTCTCATTTTCCTGGGGGATAAATATGATGTGACACAGAGACCGTTTTGTCTTTTAGCCGCCGTCCATCTGGCTTTAACCTTTCGGGAAGCACCTTAGACCCGAGTGCTCTACACAGGTACAGCTTTCATTTTTTTTATATCACTTATTTCTAAAACTAAAACCCACCATTTATAGATCCATTAGACATAGAGTGAAGTTAGGACATCTTTTAATTTTAAATTATCATGATTACAGATGGTGGAAACCCATGATTTTGCGAAAAATAAAAACAGGTTCTCATGGGGTCTTTCAGCGGGTTCAAAAATAAAGTCAAGCAGTTGTTCCTTGTTTTTTAAATTTTTTTTATTTGCTCAGCAAAAAAGCAAAAAATAAATTAATTAATTAAATAAAATTAAATTAGAAAAAGAAGATGTAGTTGTTCCAAGACCAAAATCAGACATCATCCCCAAAGAAGAGGAAATGATTGGAGGCAGAAATGCTCAAAGATTTCTGATCTGATCCAACCTTTTCTAATTTTAAGTAGAAGTCCAGGTCTCATCTAACGGGCAGCGTTGGCAGCAGGAGACTCAAAAACTGTAACAATCATGGGAGTTTAATTTTCCCACTTAATGGGTCTACTTCATTCCAGGCAGGATTTATTGTTTTATTGCCATCTAACTACTGAAAAAAAGCCCCCAGTGTTCTGCTATAGTTTCCCATAATTTAAATTCCATTTGATTTACGTCATGGAGCAGTTTTATGCTCCTTCTAAAACGTACCCATCTGCAGGCTCTGGATCAGACTCCGGCTCACTGCTGGGGGTCATGAGAGACAGCAGCTCACGGGTTTCTTCATCCTGCTCATACTATCACACAAAAATAGATCCATTACTCTACAGTTTGCCTTGTTAGGATATTGGTTTTGTGATCTTTAACGTCCTCTCTTCTGTTACAATACAGAAGGGGACCGGATTGGAACTTTTAATGTGACAAAAGACGAAGAAGTTCAGAAAGTGCTGAATGAAGAGAAGAGCTCTGCTGTTGTTTGTGTTGGTTATTCATCTTCTGTACCTCGAATTTGAGCTTGGTGCCGTTGATATCCATCCGAGAGCTCAGGCACTCCCCCACCACCATGCCCATGGTTCTGATGCGCACCACGCTGCTGTCCAAATGGCTCTGCATGCCACCAAGCATGCACTGGAGCAAATCTGAATTTAAAATAATCACATTTGAGAAATTAGTTTAGATTTAAGTTTAACATCACCAGATATGAGAACGTTAGAAACCAGTGAGGATCATTTCACCAAAAGAAGATTTTTTTTTTTTTTGCACCTGAACGCAGCTCTTGCAGCTCGGAGTCCTTCAGCAGACTCGCGGTCAGCAGGAGGGCCTTACTGACGTAGAGCTGCTGCTCTAGAGGTGTGTGTTTTACTGCACTGGGGTTTGCCCAGGCCTGCGACACAGACTGTAAAACCTGAAAACACATTCATGGATCACACTTAAAACAGCACAGTGAGCAAAAAGACATCACAACATCTACTACATCCAACCACCAACACTTCATGTGTTAAACAGACCTGGATGAGCAGCGGCCGTCGCTCCCTGTCTGAGGCGAGGTAACCAAGAACCGTTTTCAGGACCTGAGTCTGGACAAAACACAGCAGCAATGATACATCCTGAGCACCAACAGCGTAGGTAATTCCCAGCTGAATGGTGACGGCACTGACTTACCTCATACTTATACTGCAGTAACAGCACTTTATGAGTCAGCACAAAATGAGCCTTTTTATTTGTTAGCACTAGATTTCCAACGACACGACTGAAGGCATCAGGGCTGGAAATCAAAAATTAAACAGATCAGAACATAAAGGAGTGGTGAACTTACCTGGTGTTTGTTTTCACATTAAGATGGACTTACCTTTTGGCAGCCTGAATCAGCCCAGTGAGCACGCTCTCCATCCATCGCTCGGGAACGTTCTCCAGCAGCTTCCAGCACACCCTCTGCCACACCATGTCTGAGCGCGTGCAGAGAGCCAGCCGAGGGAACATCGCTGCTAGGACAGGGCCTAGAGGAAAAAAAAAAGATGTTTTTTTTTTTTTGTTCTAGGTGGTTCTCTAAAGGAATAATGAACAGAACAGCAACCAAGAAGTGTAATGAGTTCAATAGATCCACAATTGTGAGACAAAACTGCTGCATTTCAACCCATTTACTGTTGGTAACCCAGTAAAGAAATGTAAGATTTCCTATTGATTTATATTTCATTGCAAGAGCATAATCCAGATGGAGGGAAGCAGTCGTTGTTTTGCAAGCTTAGTCTCAATTCTTGACTCGATTCAAGTCAAGTCCCGACTCTGAAACTTAAAAATTCAAGTTCTTTAGAGTCTTTTTAACAAAGTTTAATATACAAGTTAAATGTAGTGTTGCGCCGATGCCATTTTTTGTCCCCAATACCGATACATAGATACCTGGCTGTGCAGTATTGGCCGATACTGATACCATACAGATGCAATCTGAAATTGATGTGTGTGTGTCTATATATGAAGAACTGCATACTACTTGGATGTAAAATAATTGCCATCATGGCTTTGTCAAGCTGCTGCCTACCTTTGTGAAGCAGGAAAAAGACTAATACAAAGTGAATCCAGTAGCACTTTTTATCACCTACCTGGAATGGTCATCCATTCAAAAATAGTTGAAGAAACTTTTGGCTCAAAATGGAATCGGTGCCCTATTCGTCGGTACTCGCCGATACCGGTACCATCATTTTAGTGCTGGATCGGGGCCCCGCCCAAAACTGGTATCGGTATCAGTGCAACACTAGTTAAATGTATATAATTGCCAATGTGTGCTTTGTAAAATCTGTTTTCCTCAGCACGTGATGACATCAGTACAACTGAACATTTGCTAAGAAGGTGAGATTAGCTTTAGTCAACGTTTGTATTGTAGAAAAAGAAAAGGTAGCTTGGCCAGGTAGACTGCAAAGATAGAGCCTGATTTTAAAGGAGAGACTAACAGGGTGGATGAAAACACTTAGAAACAATCAATAAGAACAGATGTGATGCAAAAACTTTTTTTTTTTAAAGAAAATGTTTAACAGCAGCCAAATGTTGAAGTTTTCAAGCTATAAACTGCTCTTTTAGGACATAAAGGGCATCACTAAAAGCATTGTAGCTGCACTCATAACTGTTATGGTTATGAGGGCACCATTATTTATGCAACTTTAAATGTCAGACAAAGTTGTTTTGTCTCAGTCTATGATTCTCTTCTTACTTATTTCTTTGTGTGGAGTTCTTTGAAGTTAAATGCCTTGGGGGGAAAAAGAATTGCTATTTGGAGCAGATTTGTATCTATAAAAAAAAAAGATAAATCTGATTGGGTATAGCTCATGCCCACATATGTACGGTGTGGAGAGTCAGAGATCATCTGCGTTTGTTAATATAGGATGAGCGAAATTAAGCAACAGTGGGCAGTTTAAAACAAAAAACATTTAAATTTTTTTTTTTTTTTTTACACTTTTAGACCAGATTCACTGGTCTACAAGTTACAAGTCTCTGAGCATTTTTCCAATGTAAGTGTAACATCAAGTCTAAATCATTAAATAAATGACAGTCTGACTCGAGTGCTAGCCATGTGACTCGAGTCCCTTCCTCTCATCAGCTGATTCGACACATTTTTATTAGAATTGGGTCCATGAACTGCGAGGGCACAAAAATAGCCCAGACAAACTCATCCTTTTGGATATGGTGATATATTGTAGATAGTAATCTTACTTTAAAATGACCCATTCTCAGTTTTCTGTTCAGTTCTAACTAATTCATCTGTTGTTTTTGTGTGAACTCATCTCAACATGAACTCTGTCAGGTGCTTTACAGTGAGGGCATGAAGGTTTTTTTGTTTGTTTTGTTTTTTAAGTTACTCATTTTTAACTCTGTCTTAGTTCGATCTGACCAAAATAAATGGTTCCAGTTTACTCTGCTTTTTTATATTTATGATGGTTTGAACTTTCCTAAGGCATTACTCAACTATAAAGTAGATAAATAAGGGTTGCTATGGAGACTTGGGGATTCTATAATTTAATTGTTGGCAGCTGCTCTTTAACAGCGATTTTTAGCTTGTATATCCAAAACCCTTTGCTGTACATAAAGACAAGATCAGCTTGGATCCTTGTCCTAAAAGGTCCTTTGTGACAACATAAAGCAGAGGTAACGGATTAGCGGACCGCGGTCCAGATCTAACCTGAATTAAAACATTTATATATTACTGCATGTTGTCCAATGGCAGTGTCTAACTTCACTTGCACCACTTCTCCTGTGTATATGGTAAAGCCCTCCAGAGTGCCAAGCACCAGGCTGCACATGATACAAATTAGCCAATGAGCTGAGTCAGTCTGGGATGCAGCTATGAGCTACTTCTAGACACAGCAGGCAAACCTGTGGCAAGCCGGGCGATGGGAAAGAAGGAGAAGACGATGAGAAAAAGAGAGCAGAGAAAATGTGGACTGCTGGAAGAACTGCGGTGAACTGGTGAAAGAAAAGTGAAATGTTGTGCTCAAAGGTGACCCTGCAGATTTAGAGGATGTTTGGCTCAACCTGCTGCTGTGAAGCAGGATTCTCCGCCATGAACACAATCAAAAATAAATATGAATCCAGGCTCAAAATGAGCACCTTGATATGTGCTTTAGAATGACTTTGTCTCCATTCAAACCCAGGTTTAAAGCCTTGCAGGGCAGCATAAAGCCCACTGCTCTCATTAAGACAGAAAAAAGGAAAAAAACAAAAAAAAGGTCAGTTAAGGTGTTTTATAAAATATGTGAATCAGGAAATTGTCTTTATACCAAACTGAACAATGTTGTTTGCTACTTTAAAAACAATTTTGATTTTAAAATGGAATTTTTTTATTTTTTTTTTATTTAAAAAGGCAATGTAAAACATGGATACATAAACACCTCATTTTATTTCACTGTTAAAGTCTGTTTAAAGTAACGAATTATAATAAAAAGTGTCTCCGGATCTTTACTGGGTGATGATTTTCTTTATTCGGACCTTGCTGATTTTTAATTGGTTACCCCTGATATAAAGGTGGGAAGTCATAGATGACAGGTTTCAGGAGTGGAGTCAATAACAGATACAATTGTTTTAATTAAAAATTACTTTATTTTAGATAAACTTTAATTTACGTGATTTATTTTTGTTGATGAAATAAAATATGCATTCTTTTTTTCAGCCTTTCGCTTGTCTTTAGCAAGAGGTGCAGATAGATCTGTCTACATGTGGACGTATTTGGTTTAAGTGTAGGAATCAAACTCACCACTGTGCCCTTGGATACAAACTTTCCCAAGTGTCTGAGCTACAAATGTTAAAGAGCAGTCTGTGCCACCTGGGAATGACAAAATTAAAAGAACAGCTGAGTGAACGAGAAGTGACGAATACAGGTGTAGATCTCCACCAACATGCTCTCACTGTCACCTCTGAGGGCCTGGCAGGTTCTCTCCAGAGCAGCGAGCATCTCTGAGGCCAGGAGCGGGTAGTACCGCTGAGGAGCGAATATGGGTCTGTTGTTGGGGTGTAACTTGTTGGCGGTGATATCTGGCAGCGCCGTTAAACGAGCTAGCAGGGTTTCCCTGAGCTGAGGTGAGGCTGAGGGTGCTGAATGAAGACAGAAGGACCACAACAGGTCGGCCAGGCGACCGCTCTGCAGGAACCGCTCAGTGATGCTGACGAGGCGCTCCAAACCGCTACTGGAGCTGCAGTGGAGAGAATGAATGACACTGAAGAAGCTGAAATCAAACCCAAAACACCATCTGCAGGTCTATATAAGGATGGCCACAGAAATTCAAATGTCAGGCAAGTGAAATAAGCCTCAAACAACCATCCATATTCATTAATCCATCCATTTTCTCCCGCTCAGTCCTTGTCAGGGTCCCAATTTGGCCGGTGGCTTTCTGCAGCTTTCTACAGGCGAGAGGCGGAGTGCATCCTGAACAGGTCGCCAGTCTGTCGCAGGGCAACAGAGATACACAAAGACGCACAACGATGCACACACACTCACACCTAATGACAATTTAGAGAAGCTAATTAACCTAACAGTCATGTTTTTGGATTGTGGGAGGAAGCCGGAGCACCCGGAGAGAACTCCTGCATGCACAAGGAATCAAACCCCAAACTATCTTGCTGCAATGCAATAAAACTACCCACTGCTCCACCATTCAGCCACCATCCATATTATTTCAGGAGAAAAAAGATCAACTTAACATTGATAGAAAGGTTAATGCATTTACATTGTTTTCTGCTTGTTTGTTTTAATCATCATTAAGGTTTAAGAAAATAATTGTGTTGCCATTGTTAAACAGCCTTGAAAAAAAAAAAAAACAGAAAGAAGCTTCTTGTTTTTTAAAAAAAAGAAGAAATTTAATTGGAAGGATGTTAATGTTTCCTCTGATACTCTTTAACCCCGAGTGGTGGACGGTTTTGTAGAGTTTAACAGTCACGGTTGTGTCTCTGCATCATTTTATTCAGATTTGAGAAATTCAACAATATTTTTCAGTACAAGCTTTAAGGAAATGATTTGGACAGGAGGCTCTGACCAGATTACAGACGTTTGGCTGATTCACTAAACTTGGAGAGGGTTTCACAGAAGGCCATAAAACAGACCTAAAGCAACATGAGGATCATCACTGTTGGTTTTTCCAGTCCCTGTGAGGAGGAACATCATGTTTTCCAGGGATGTTCTCAAGTAAATAATCGTGCTAGTGTGCAGAGTTGTTTACAGAAAGGGTTAAAGAAGATTCCACCTGCTAAGGACTCTGTGGTGGCATCAGCCATCTTCCATGGAGCAGCTTAACCATCACTGAGATAGTTAAGCATTTGGAAAAAAATCCGTAAAAGTTTAAAAACAATCTACTTGACTTTGTTTCCAAGGTCTGAAGACGTTTCGCTTCCCCTCCAGGAAGCTTTCTCAATTCAAATGTCATTGATAAAGCTTCCTGGAGCCAGAATGACTGTGAACTGGATGACTGAGAATCTCCAACAGCATTTGGAAGACGAGCTCTGGATGCTCCCTGGATCCAGTGCAGAGTGAGCTGTGGCAATAATAACATCACTTTGGGCAACGTCTCAAAAATCATGCATGAAGCTGTGCAAAACTGGAAAGCTCCTTCTATGACAGACTGTTGCATCCTTGATGCACAAAGGAGCATTATCACAGATCCTTCCTCCCAGCAGCTGTCTGACTTTATAACAGCCACTCCTCCCTCCAGAATGTAAGATGCTGTGCAAGTCTTCTGTCTTTTTTATTTTTTGAATGTTTCTTTCATAGGTTTGGAGATTTTCTTTTGCCATTTTTTAAGCATTCATTTTCAGGATAAATGTTCTTCATGTTCTATTCTAAATGTCTAGACATAACAGATAATAAATAAACTAAGCCTACATCTCTCACCTGAGCTGAGTCACCGCCTCCATCAGCACCAGCAGCGTCTGGTCTGGGGGGCCTCTAAGGAACAGAGGGTCCCACAGCTGTGAGCGCTGCGTGGGGGAGAGAGCGTGCATCCAGTCAGCCTGGAGGTGGCCCACCAGAACCCGGAGGGTTCGGCTGTAATGGGCCCTCCGGAACTCCTCCCGCTCGGCTGAGGTGGTGCCGCTTTCGGCTCCATCATCTAGAAAGGAGTTCAGCGTTTTCAACGCTTCAGTAACATCTTTATTATCCGTGGAGGTGGAAAGCGTCCTGAAACACTGGGCCACCTTCAGCCGAACCTCCGAATGGGTCGATCCGAACTCCATTTATGCACGATAGCAGAAAGCATAACCTTCTGTTGAAGAATAGATCCCAACAAAAATACGTACATAAATCATTTGGTGAAATTGAATTTTTTAAATTATAATGTCCGGAAAGTTCTGGTTAAATATTAGCTTAATCGTTTCAATTTGCTATAACAGACAAACGAGAATAAATTCAATCTAATTAATCAGCCACGAACCCTAAACCCAGCACATAGAACTTGTTTAGTCATATAGTTACAACACATTTTTTTAACCAGCTTATATTTAAGGTTTAACGAAGAGCAACGCGGTAAACCGGAGAGCATTGGAATCCTTGGTGTGCTTCATCAAAATAAGAACGGAATGCTCAATACTTCTCACTTTGGTTCCGCTGAGATGTGATGACTAATTTCCTCATTAACCTCTGTTCTTATGATATATATATATATATATATATATATATATATATATATATATATATATAATTCTTTTTTAAGGAACACATTTTTTAATCAGCATTTATTTATTCATTTTGACCTTAAGTTTATTGGGTAATGCACATGAGTAGAGCAATGTAGAAAACCATAAAATTACAGCTAATAATTATAACTTAATACACAGATAAATTGTTTCCTGTGCTCTTTTCTAACATGCATGTATATTAAATCCTTTAAAAATCTGTTTTAATACACCATCTACAGTAATTCAAGTGATTTGACTCAAGTGGGTTTAAGATTTTGACTATAACACTTCAAAATCTTCCTGTTTCATTTCTATGTAGAAGAAGACTAAAGGGGATTTGGGTCATTTGCCTGCTGTGTAAAAGAAATAAGCCTGAGCAAAATGCCATGAGTCATGAAAAATCTCAAAAACTCAAAGGTGATTTTATTTACCGTATATAGCACATTTAAATAGCAATAAATTCAAAGTGAATTCAAAGTACATGAGGGGGGAAAAACAATTTTATTGGTATTAAGTCAACACAAAGAGAAAAATTAAGTTGTATAACAAAAAGATTTTTATTTTTTAAATTGGTGATTATTGGACTCTTGTGGCAAAGCAGCTTATTGACACAGATCCTCCTGAGAATATCTTGTCCAAAATATTGGGGATCATCAAGATGTTTCGAGAAATGTGAGTCTAGAGGGTCATTCCCTGGCATCCATAGTGATTCCAACCTTACCTTTGAAGCAATTTTGCCCAGTTTCTTTACAGATGTTTAGATGCTCTCTGTTCCTCTGTAAGCTCTTGGTTTAGGTGTTTATGTTTACTTAACCTGCTGCTCCTGAGAAGGAGCTCCAATGTTTTGTGTGTTATTTGATACAATAGTTTTCATTATTGATCTTGAGGCCCAGAACTACAGAAATGCCTTTTGGAAGCCTTTCCAAATTGATGAAGTCAATGGTTTCTACTTCTTCAATGTTTAGAACAGGATATGGGGCATTCATTTTTAGATAATTTAGGATATCATGTTGTTAAACATGTTAAAGTGATTTCTCTATTCTAAAAATGTGACAAATCAGCCAAACGTGGTATGTGGAATTAAATACCTTTTAAAAAAACTTAATACTACATATTAAACAAGCAGGCTGGTTACTTTTTTTTGGCATTATGGTAAAACAAATATATATTCCTGTAGTAAATAAATTCATTTGAAAACCACATTTAATTCACTCGGTTTACCTGGTCTTTTTTTCCTTCTGCAATCAGAATCACTGCGACAGATTTACAGAATCCTTAAAGCAGACATTTGCTGTGCCTCTCCTCAGATCATCAATAGCCTTCACATGGCCAGCACTTTGAAAGTCTTTCTCATTGTGTTTATACTGATGAGGAAAACTAATCAACATTCTTTAATGGTTGAAAATTTAACAGCATTAAATACTCTAACATCTTCAGTAACTCAAATTATTAAACTTTTGCAATAATGAAATTCAACCATTAAACTGTCTCTCACGCTAATGAGGATGTCATCGCAGATGATGCCATTTTAACTGTTTTAAATTGAGACAATTTAGGTTATGAATAATGCAATGTTTACTTCTAACCAGCAGGTAGCGATATTGTCTGAATGCAGTAAGTATGATCACCACTGTGGATGTCTAATCAGTACAGTGATAATGTTGACATAAGCTGATAAAAATAGGAGGATGTAATCATAAACATAAAAGAATAAATTCAGAAAATGGTTATTTTCTGCAACCTTAAATGCCATAAACACAATACAAAAACAAAGAAACACAAGTTCTTTTATTCCATTTATTTATTCTATTCTTACTTCCACTTCTTACCTTAAAATTTTCTCTTTTTACAATAAATGACATTTCCCCAGAAACAATTAGGAGCTAATCATTTAAGGGACCTCCAAAAATATTATACAGATGTACCCAATACTGTTATAATTTATACATTTATCTCTGAAAATAGGAATAAATTTACTTCTTACAGATTCTCTTTTCTACAGTATTTCTTTCCGACCTCCCATGTCACACAATGTTACACTGTGCACTATTCCAGTGGGGATTCCTTCAGCAAACTTTCTTTGGACATTGGAAGAGTGTCTGAGGGAGACAGAAAAAAGAAAGAAGTCCCACCTAAAAATAAAGTTTATATTTACAGCCGTTATTGTATAATTCAAAAACCAACAGACTTTATCCAGGGCTCATTATTAAAGTTTGAGAAACAGTGTATAGACAACAGCCAGAGAGCCAGAAGAAAACAGCGACAGCTTAGACTCTCAAACCAACAGGGGGTGTAAGAGCATTTAGTTTGTAAAAGTGAGGCTTGCACTAAAACCTGGTCCTGAATCAGTGCCGTCACACTGCAGAGACCTTTCTGAGATAAATATTTTTTTGGTTCAATAGGCCAACATGTAAATTACTCTAGCAGCGACTGTATTTTGAGGGCCCAAATATCAAACTCTGTTTAAAACCATAGATGGCATCGGACCGGCCCTGCTATCAGAATAGTTTCCAGCAGAGAATCAGTCTTTGGTCATCTTTAAATCAGGATGCCAAGCTGAACAACGCATCTGATTTGACAGAATACAGCCTTCTTGTGTCTATATCATACTTTTGCTTTAAAAAAAAAAAAGGAGGAATTAAGACATTTGAAAGCTCTTTTTTTGTTCTAATAAAAGTCTGCAAGTATTAAGATGTAATCTAATCAACATGAGGTTCCAGATCTCAAACAGTGCCGGTTCCAGTGAGTGAAACTGCCCGCTAAGTCTAACATGTTGATCAGAAATGTACAACAAGAAATCTGTGTAACCATGCAGTACCTGACCTCATCTGGGAAGACAATGGGGACAGAAAAAAAAAGAAAGAAAAAGCCGACTCAGCATTATTGGCATCACAAGGCTAGATCGGGTCAAAGCAACATCCGCATCATGGAAGAGAACATATCTTAATCTGACATCCTGTGCCACTCAGTCAAGCTTTGTGCACACAATTCTTAGATAAACGTTAAGAATAATTTCCCCCACAGATCTGATCGGTGTCAATAAATCTCGGGTGATTTCAATAATGCACAAACATTTTCAGCAGAACAGGTCAGTGTGAGCTGTCGAATAAATATCTGCGTGTAAAATGAAAACCTCTTAGATACTGTACACGCTACATGCTAAAGAGCACAGGCAAATGTTTCTCTGTGCAAGACTAAAGAAATCATCGTTCCTCTGCTGTGACTATAAAAATACCTAGAATCTAGAATGAGTGTAGAAAAAAAACACTTTACAAGTCATTTACATCAAAGGCCATTTTTCTCCTCCATGGAGTGGCAAGTGAAGAGCAGTGAGAAAGAGGCGAACAGTGAGAAAAAAAGAAAAGTATCCAAGAAAAAATGGTGTCAAAGGTCATGATATAAATCCTTCAAGATGCCAGGACAAATTCCTGACATGCAGGTAGGTATTAGTGTCCAGACAAGATGTTTGCACAGTACCAGTTAGTCCAAAAAATGTCCATGGTGCGCGACGTCTTCCTCAACCAGCAGAGGAAAATGCAGACCCGTTGAAATGATTTCTTACTCAGCATTATTGCTACAAAACCGTCTTCCATATCTTTCTAAGCTAGCTAAATGATCCCAGTAAGATAACTTTTAGATGGTTGTAGAATCATCTGGATATGTTTGATTAAAATGGTGTCATCGTAGTGTGATGTTTTTTTTTTCTCCCGCTCAAACAGCCTCCAGATTCAACAGGCTGTAAAATGTTTCCCAGTTTAATCTTTAGTCTTCATAACACGTCTAATTCAAACCAAAAAAAAAAAAAACACATATAGTGCAAAATACAATCAATAAATTCTTCACATACAACTTATCAAATGCCGGCATTTTATAGTTGCAATAACTAAATCATTTTTGCAGGAAAAAAAAAACTAAATTCCCTGTTATACTCAGCAAGATAACACTGGGATCAGGTGGGCTTTTCTTTTAAGGAATAGCTCAGAATTAACAAGTTTGAGGTTCTGTTGCTCATGTAAGACATGAACATGAGCAGCTCAAATCTTACCTACAGTAGAGTAACTGCAAAAGAACATAACTTCAGTGTAAATCCAGATCAGTTAGTCTTAGAAGCTGCACCGCCATGCAGGGAAGCTCATAGGTGTATCACCAATGATCTTCCTGCAGGGAACTGTTGCAAAGCTCAAATACAAGATATCCAAGTAAGGCAGTTTGTATACATTTAAAGTTTCTTGCATCGTTTTAGTTTTATATGAGACAGTTCATCTGAACCGTGAACCCTCAGATAGCCGTTAGAATTTAGCTTCTTGGAGCAACTTTTTACTAAAATGAAAAACTATCCCAGAATGAGGACTACTGTAGACTTATCTTAACCTTACCTAAAGAATCTGAGTAGATTCCCTCAATGTTAAAAACATTTAGTGTTTTTCCAGCCCACGTGAAACCCAGGACCCTGTTTCATTGCAAAATAACCCAACATCCTACAAGAATGATTGCTTTATATTTTTAGTCCCATTTTAGTGTTGCCTTTCTGATTCACACAAACATAGAAAAAGCAAGGGAATGTCAAACACTCCCAACACACACACACAAAACCCTGCAGGAATTTCTCATCTGGAAGCAGGGAGAAACGTCCCTCACTTAGGTTGGAATGACAGCCGAGCCTGGTGGAAAGCACAGAGCACGCAGAGGGCCGTGTAGGCAGCAAGTCAAGCTCTGAAAACGTTCAAGATAAACAGTTTTTTTTTTAACCCAAAACCAGCGCTTCATGCGGCTTGTGATTCAAACACGATTCCACCTGGTTCTGGTGGCCTTTGACTGGGTCACATATCGAGCATTTTGTAAAGTGAAATACTTCAAAAAAAACTCTTAAGGCCTTTTGGT